GGCATGGAATGAATTGTGAGTCAATGTCATTGCTATCCAGTGCTTGTGTGTGTGTTTGAATGGTGTATCACAATGTGGTTTGTGTCGGTCAAGACATTAGCGAGTTTTTACAACTCGCATGTCAAGTCGTCGTTTGTGTGTCGCATGTGTTTTTTCTATTTTGTCGAGTGTGAAGTGTCCATCGCGTCGCAGGTGTGTGCAGCAAGCCCCCATCAACTCAAGAAGAATTTATCTTGCAGATCCAAGACCAAGAGCTCAAGATTTCAAGCCCAAGGGACGCGGATAAATATTAAATAGTGAAAATAGTAACGCTACTTCGTGTAGTGTTACATTTCATTTGGTGTAGCCCCTTGGAGGGTTGGTTTCGAGACTCTTCGTGGTTGGGGACTCTGTGGTGGTGTACCACCATCCTGGACCTCGGCTCTTGGGGTATGTAGAGGCTGGGAACCATCTCCATCTCGAATTCTTCTTGCTCGGTTTGTACTTCCAAGACTATAGTGGCTGCTATACCTCCTGCCAGTCAAACCGCCATAGCGTCGTCAAATCTTCATGGAATTTTATGATTCAACTTGCTGCTTATAGGCGACAGCAAGGCGCTCTAGATCCAATTTTTAGATCACCGTTTGAGGCACAGATCAGATCGGCATCAATATTTGAAGCTGTCTGACGGAATTCTAACTGTGCACAATTTCTCTCATTTTAGGCACATCTGAGCCTATTGTGATTATAACAGGTCCAACTCGATAATCGAGTTGGACCCATTTGAAACAGGCACAGACATGCGGGCTGCCCTACCATGGCAGGTGAACGCTCCTCGCCTCGAGCGATGCTTTCGCCGGCGCGCTTATCTACTTGGATTCTTTACCCGTGTTTCAGGTTGGATGCTGCAGTTTTTATTCCCGCGCACCAATCGCTGTCCTGCGTGGATGTTTTCCCTCCTACCCGGGGGTAATAAGGAACAGTGACCCTGAACCCCCTCGCTACAAGGCTTGGTCCCTTAGAAAAAATCCCACGCAACCCCCCTTTCAAGTTGGGCCCGCCTTTACTATTCTCCATTCTCGCTTCAAGTGACTTAATCCGAAGCATCGAACATGTGACGAGGGTGAAAGTACCAGAGGCACTCGGTCAGCACAAGTGTCATGCGATATCTCTGTGTCGACGCTAAGCTCCCACGTCTAACATGGCACCATACGATGAGGACATTCATCCGGCCCTATCGTGTCTCTTCCCCAACGCCCCACGTCTTTCCCTCAACGATCCTTGTCGTCCCCCAATAACCCACGCCTTTCCCCAAACACCTCGTGTCTTTTCCACAACTCCATCCTCGCACGAAGCCTGTAAATGCCCCGAAACACGCTACCGTGATTCTTCCCCAACGCTTCGTGCCTCTCCTCCCGAAACCTCATCATCTCTCTCCCCCAAAGCCCCTGTATTTTCCCCACAAAACACCCACCTGAACCTTCCCCAACGCCCTGTGTCTCTTCTCCAAAACCCCATCCTCTCTCTTCCCCAAAGCCCCGTGTATTCCCCCCAACGCCCTAGCATGTCTCTCCCCCGACGACCTTTGTGTTTCTCCTGATACCCCATCGTCCTTCCCCCAACGCCCGGTGTGCTTCCCCCAATACCCCATCGTCTTTCCCCCCTAGCCCCGTGTCTTCCCCCCTGCAGATAAGAAGGTAGGTGCTGTGGAGATACTCTTTTCCAAGCAAGGGGAGTGGGGCAAGGCAGGAGAGATACGAGCGTGCAATTGAGTCTAGGTAGGGAATGGGAGGGGTGGAATGGTATTGAGTGCATTTATTCAGTAATCAAAGCAAGGCTTTGTGTAAGGCATGTGCATGGGGCGACCCTCTCCCCATGCACCTCCTTTTAATCATTCCCTGATCTGATACATTAGCAGCTCGCTGATGCAGCTCACTGACCAGCACTTCCAGCTCGTTCTGTTCCGCTCAGTTTTCCTTAAGTAGACCATGTGAGACGGCCAGCAAGGTGCAGCAACCAATGCAAGTCTTGTGCTCCGCTTAGGTCAACCCGATAGGTTTCGTTCTTGAGAATCCTCAGGTGAGGTACTGCATGGAAGCGCACGTCAGCTTCTCCAGCTTTCCTTGAAGGGTATACATAACTTCGCCTCAACATCCAACAGGTTGCAAGTTTCAAGTCAGGCACCGTATCCCAAGCGAGTGCTTTCGAGTCGACTCAAAGGCTGAGTGGACTCAAATGCAGGGAAGCCCGATTTTTCCCATTGGTTCATATTCTCTTTAATACATGTTCCTTTCTTAAGCCCCATGCCCTGTACCCCGTGTTGCCTTGTTCCGTGTCGGCCAGACTCCCTGCTAATGCCCCATATGTTTCTCCCACTATCTCTGGCTCATCCCCATGCCCCATACCTCTCCTCTATCACATCCCCATGTAGTTACAGAAGATGTAATTGAGATGCGTATTGCCCCCATCCCCATTATCCCCATACTCTTTTTAATACATGTTCCTTTCTTAAGCCCCATGCCCTGTACCCCGTGTTCCTTTCAAACCTTGGGTAAGTCAGACTATTGTCATACATGCAAAGGATCACCACATCCCATTGCATGGCACAGGCTGTCACGCCATCTTGAAACAGAGTATTACATCGACTAGGTGCCACATAACAGCCCATTGCCTTGCCATTATAACAGCTTTCTGAATCCTTCCTCCTGCTCTAAGAGATAACCAGCAACCTCCAACAGGCAAGCTATCATCAACCTCTCAAGAAGACACATACGGTACTTTCCATAGGCAGCACTGCTCGTTCTAACCTTCCCCAATCTCAGCAACCTCTCTACACACCGTGTGCCAGCAGCAACCTCAGTGGCTGCCTCACTGAGTCGTTACCACTCTCTACGCCGCAATACCATTTACCATGGTAATGGACGGGTTCCTCCAAGCAGCAGGCACCGCATTGAACCCATAACCACCCCTCGCCAGCTTGCCGATCATGTACTGCATGAACGCCTTGGCGATCTTTCCGCCGGTCACACCCGTCAGCGACTTGCGGATGAACCCATACTCCATCGACACCATGGGCGGGGTCTTAGCGCCAGCCTTCCAGATGAAATCCACCGACGCCCACGACCCGTCAGCCGCGGGCGGGGAGCCGATGAGAGCAGTGCCGGGAGTCCACGAAGGCGGTGCGACGGCCGCGCCGTTGGCGTTCCTGAGAGCGGCGATCAAACGATTGGGGTTCGTGGGCCTCCTGCGGTTGTACACCGTGCTGCAGCCGCCGGTGAACGCGTAACCAATGGCGCCCTTGGTCTTCAAGACGGCGGCGCAGACGGCGCTGGTTCCCTCGACCTTGGTGAGGCCGGCGTAGGTCATGGCATTGCCGTCCGTGCCGTCGCCGTAGCCCGACACCGCCTTGGACCACATGGTCTTCACGATGGCGGTCGTTCCGGACTTGTCGCTACATCGCAAACTACAGGCCGGGAAATCAGCCTGTGTACAGGCTGTGTTCTGGACGTCAGGCTGAAAACGGACTGCAAACCGGGGTCGATTTCCGTCTGAAATCATGGCACTGCCATGCCTGTTCTTCTCATGCGTAACAGGCGTAACTGCGCCTGTTTTCAGGGCCGTATTTCCAGCGGAGTTCAAGCGTATTACATCCCGATTTCGCACTGTTGTCACCCGCACTTTGCGCATCCAACCACGTGGAATGGTGGTCATTAATTGAAATAATGTACAACCATTTCCTGTACTTTGTTATATAACGTCTTACTATTATTTTATTTCTCCTAAGCTGAAATCGTAGTAGTCATTATTTAAGCACAATTACAGCATGATATCATCTAAAAATCCCTAATAGAAACGTAACTGTCTCAGCATCTTTACGCTCTGCTGCACCAATAACCCAGCAGCTGCTCCGACCACACCAGCACCCTACTCTCCAGTGCTTCCCTGTCTTCTGCTCATCCGGGCTCTTCACTCGCTCACTTTTCCCCCTCCCTCTGCAGCCACTCCCTCTGCTGCTGCACTCCCTCAGCTGGTACTCCCTCTGCCTCTGCACCCACCCCTGCTGGTAGTACCTCTGGTACTCCCTCTGCTGCTTCTCTACCTCTGCTGCTGATACTCCCTCTGCTGCTTCTCTACCTCTGCTGCTGATACTCCCTCTGCTGCTGGTACTCCCTCTGCTGCTGCTCTACCTCTGCTGCTGGTACTCCCTCTGCTGCTGGTACTCTCTCTACTGCTGCTCTACCTCTGCTGCTGGTACTCCCTCTGCTGCTGCTCTACCTCTGCTGCTGGTACTCCCTCTGCTTCTGCTCTACCTCTGCTGTTGGTACTCCCCCTGATGCTGCACTCTCGCTGCTGAAGCTCCTTGGCCGCTGCCTCAAATTTGCTGCTCTCTGCAACTCTACCCCATGGACTGCGGCCACCTCTGCCACTGCGCCCTTTGCCACTGCGCCCTGTGCCACTGCTCCCTGTGCCACTGCGCCCTCTGCCACTGCGCCCCCTGCCACTGCGCCCTCTGCCACTGCGCCCTCTGCCACTGCGCCCCCTGCCACTGCGCCCCCTGCCACTGCGCCCCCTGCCACTGCGCCCTCTGCCACTGCGCCTTCTGCCACTGCGCCCTCTGCTGCTGCGCCCTCTGCTGCTGCGCCCTCTGCCACTGCGCCCTCTGCTGCTGCGCCCTTTGCTGCTGCGCCGCCTGCTGCTGCCGCTCCATCTGCTGCTGCCGTTTCATCTGCTGTTGCCGCCCCTCTGCTGCTGCTCCCTGCGCTGCTGCTCCTCTTTACTGCACCCCTCTGCTGCTCCCCTCGGCTGGCTCTCTATCCTTTCCCCCCCCAGTGCCCCAAGCTGCTGCTCTTCTCAGCTACATGTGCCGCCTCCTCAGCTCCTACCACTTCCTCGTACGCCTCTGCCCCTCCAGCTTCTGGTCCCCCCTCCCGCCCCTCACTGATGCTCCACGCGCAGCTTCTCGTTTCCCCACTGCCACTCCTCTCTCTGCACCATTGACTTACTCTCCACCGGCTTGAGTCCTGGGGAGCCTGGGGTAGTCGGAAGCGTCAATCAGCACCCCGGAGCCGAACTGGTAGGCGTTGGTGGTGGGGTCGTAGCGCACCCCCAGGTTGTTCACTGAGTGCTCCACCCAGCGCCGCACCCTGGCGCAGGTCGCCTCGTACTTCTTGCGGTTCTGGCTCTGGTCGGTGCCGAGCTTGCCGTCGTTGGCCTGCTCAAGGAGGGGGTTCTCGAGCTACACAGAAAGGGTGGGTTTTGGGCGGGGTGAGTGAGAATACGGAAAGGGTGACGAGACGAGCACTTGGGACAAGAGCATCTTGTTGAACAGCACACGAGGGGGAGCACTTGGGATATTAGACAAGGGATTGGTAGAAAAGCGAGGTAAGAGCACATGGAACCCTGAGATGATGGGAATGGAAGATGAGGAACATTGTGGACATGGGATGTGAGGATACAGAAAAGAGAGCACGAACGGTACAAGGGATAAGGATGGGTGCCTCTAATAGCTAGCGGCCGCACTACAATAAGCAACCTGAGGATCACAAAGACCAGCTCACCGAGAACAAGGCGAACGCCACCATGCGGGACTTCCAGGAAACCATGTCCACCCCCCTCCGTGTGAAGGCCTTGGCCATGGCAATGGCAAACAAGTGGGTGGAGAAGGGCCACTCCGTGGGCTTGTCCATGTGCCAATCCATGCCCCAATCATCTGTGTCTCCAAAACAGCCATTTGGATAAAGGAGATGTGATTAGTGAACTAGCCCTGCAAATACTACCATGTGGATGCTTGCTTGGCAACTCACCGTTCATGTTGTCGCGGACAAGCTCTGCATCGTTCACGTAGACGGTGGGACGATCCAGCTCCCTGGGCAGACGGCTAACCTTGTCCTTCTTCTTCTCACTGCCCAATGCGGTTAGAACGATGCGACGAAAGATCTTGCCTATGGAGCAACGAGTGTTGCTACAGGCAGTGAGAAAGGCTCCTTTGGTGGTAGGGCACTGATGGTTCCAGAGCAATTGCACATGGGGCATGCTGTCAGGGGACAGGTAGGTGCTGAAACCTTCAATGACTTCGACGGTCGCAGGGTACATCTGGATCTTTGAGGCTTCTTTCAGCCAGTAGAACTCGGTAACTAGAGTGCGACACTTCACCTGTGGAACATTAAGGAGGACAACAGGGAAAGAGGGGGCGGGATGATGGGTAAGATGGAACAAGGTTTAGGCAAGAGGTAACACGGCACGAAGTAACAGGGTAAGAGGTACTAGAGTATGAGGTCACAGGGCAAGAGGTCACCGGGCAAGAGGTCACAGGGCAAGAGGTCACCGGGCAAGAGGTCACAGGGCAAGAGGTCACAGGGCAAGAGGTCACAGGGCAAGAGGTCATAGGGCAAGAGGTCACAGGGCAAGAGGTCACAGGGCAAGAGGTCACAGGGCAAGAGGTCACCGGGCAAGTGGTCACAGGGCAAGAGGTCACAGGGCAAGAGGTCACAGGGCAAGAGGTCACAGGGCAAGAGGTCACAGGGCAAGAGGTCACAGGGCACGAGGTCACAGGGCAAGATGTATCATGGTCAGAGGTAACAAGGAAGGAGGTAACAGAGCAAGAAGTAACTGGGTTTAGGGTAACATGGTAAGAGGTAACACGGAATGAGGTAACAGGGCAAGAGGTAACATGGTGTGTGGTAACAGGGCAAGAGGTAGCAGGGCAAAGGGTAACAGAGCAAAAAATAACAACATAAGAGGTAACATGTGAAAATGTATCAGGGTAAGAGGTAACAGGCAATGAGGGGATGGGCTGGTGGGAGTGATGGAGGATTGTACGAAGATGAAATACTGATGGTAAGAAGTAACTCGCGAGTAGCGTGCACAGGATAAGTTGGGCACAGGGAGATTGTCAGACATGGGAGAGTGTGAAGCGAGGTGCGGCACTAGGGTTTAGACCGGGATTGAGCAAGAGAGAGAGGTGGTGTGTGCGGAGTGAAGTGCTATGACGGTGCAGCGGACACATACCTTCCAGTCTCCTGCATCGATAAGGACAGATTCCAGGGCAATCTGCTCCGCCCCCCTAACCAGGGAGCGCCTTGGAGCCGCGCCTGCCTGCAGGCCCCCTGCGGGCTCATGGACCGTGACTGGACCGGCAGGAACAGTGCCCCACGCAGCCCCGTGCTGCTCAATGACTAGAAGCATCTCCGCTCTCATCGCTGCGAGCTCGGCTCTCGTAGCGTATTGCTGCTGACCCGCGAGTGCCGCCACTGCTGTCATGCTCCTCGGTGCTTGTGCCGCGCCCTGTACGACGGGCCGTGCAGCCGGCGTAGCAGTGGGCCTCATGCTTGGACCTTGCTGAGAAGCCCCACTCCTTGCCGCTGCCGCCGTCCGGGCCGCCGCCAACACCGAACGCGCATGACCATCAGCCGCCGACGCTGCCGCCATACGTGCCGCTCCTGCTGATGGGGCGCGTGCTGTCCCCGCCGCCGCCGCCGCCACCGCTGTGCGTGCCGCTCCCCCTGGTCGTGCTGCCAGTACCGCCGCTGCCGCTGACGCAGCGCGTGCCGCACCCGCAGCCATAGAGCCGGCCCCCGGAGGAGGGGTGCGTTGACCTCCTGCTCCAGAAGTAGTCATGCGCCACACCGCAGAGCCGGGGTTCGCAGGGCTGCCCACAGTGGCAGCCCGCCTCATGACACCCCCCCTCATGCCACCCCCGGGCGCGAGATGGATGTGCTCAATTGTGTCCGGCGGGCCCACTCCGGAGTTCAACACAACTGCAGGCGGGGTGAGTTGGGGGGGGGGGGGGGGGGGGGGGGGTGGGGCGGGGCGGGGCGGGGAGGGTGTAGAGGGGGTATCCTTTTGAGAGTGTAGGGTATGGAGCAAGGGGGGTTAGTGTTAGACGAGATGGATGGGGGGCGTCGGGGGGGAAGGGGAAGGAGGCGAGGTCATTTTAGTGATGCAATGCTGTGGAGCGACAACCCTCTAAACTAGTACAGACCTCTTTTGGGCTTCTGCGTTTTTGCAGAAGCCTTGGCATCCGCCACAGCTGCTAGGGTGCAGAGGGGCAACATGGCATAAGGGGGAGCACAAGCCTTAGGTTTTGGGCAAAGGTACTCGACAAAACAGTAAACAAAGCCGAGGGAGTAGAAAACGTAAAACACTCACCCGCCTTGTTGCCCTTGTCTGCTCCCTTGGCCGGTTTCGCTGCTTCGGCGAAAGGCCTCCGGCCCACCGCCTTGGGCCGTGCATTCCGTGCACTACCAACTCCAGCCGCCCTCCCGTTGCCCGTCCCCGCCGCCCGAGAGGTTCCTGCACGCCAATTACCCCCCCCTCCACGGGTGCCGGACTTTGGTTGGCCGGCCTTGGCAGCCTCGTTGGCCGGCGGGTCCCCGTGCAGCGAGCCGAGCTGGAGAAAACGTCCCTTCCTCAGCATGCGCTCGGCCTCCTCCTCCTCGTCCCATGTAGACTGCTTACTCAGCGCCTGCGCTCGTGCGCTCCGCATGTTTCGCAGGTAGTGGGCACTAGCATCCGAGTCGTCGTTGGCCGCCACCACCTGCATGCCCTCCACCCCGACTGCCTCCTCCCCTCCCTCCTCTTCTTCCGCCTCATCCCCCTCCTCCTCCTCCTCTTCTTCCTCCTCCTCCTCCTCCTCCTCCTCCTCCTCCTCCTCTTCCTCATCTTCCTCCTCTTCCTCCCTTTCCTCCTCCTCCTCCCCATCCCCCTCTTCCTCCTCCTCCTCTTCTTCCTCCTCCTCCTCCTCCTCGGCATCCTCGTCCGCACCATCTTCCTCTACCCGCTCTTCGCCATCATGTTCCGCGTATGCATCTTCCTCTCCCGCCTCCCCAGCTCCTGCCACTTCATCGTCGGCCTTCGCCTCGTCAGCCTCGGCCGCCTCTGCCAATTCTTCGAACGCCTCCTCACCACCGAGGTTGTCCTCCACATGCTCTGGTGCATGATCGGCTGGCCCCGCATCTCCAGTGCCGAGTTCGCCGACGGCAGTCGTCGCGCCTTGCCATTCTAAACCGGCGGAGTCATTGCCTTCCGACCCTGTGAGGTCCTCACCTAGAATGTCCTGGGCAAAACAGTCCTCACCCGTACCCGGGGCATCCTGGCGAGGTTTCTTGGGGGACGCCCGCTTGCGTCCCGTCTTCACTTTGCGCTTGGTTGTTCCACTGCCACCGGGTACCCTAGAGTCGGAGAGAGCTGGCTGAGACATGGCTGTTGGTGGATCGGAGTAAAGAGGTATGTGACTGGACCACGCTAAGGCCGCTGGTATGACATGTGTACAAGGATATTACGAGCCCTGCTTTTATAGCAACATCTCGGAGGATCCTTAGAGCGACGGGCAACCCAGCTCGACAGCCCCAACGGAGACGACGCCAAGGCCTCTCAGCTGCAAACAACACGCGGTCACGTTGGCATCACGTCGGATCTCTGCCGACGCGATAGCACGACCATGCTCACCCCGCCACGTCGGCGCGCCACTAAACGGTGACGCCGTGTGATCGCGACTAAGGTGGCCGACGCGGTGGAGTAATGAACATGGTGGGACCCCACTAAAGGTGCCCCGTTGTATCGAGGCCTGAAGGGACCGTGCGATTTGGACGGTGGGGGGATGGCGGCTCGAAAGGGAATCATGGGCTGGACTGCCAAGTTACGCGGCCAGCTATAGCGGGGGGAACTACGAGGTCTGTGAGAACCGTGGGAAGGAAGAGGGTTGGCAGCTCGAAAAGGAAGGATCGCTCTCCTGAGCTCCGTCATGGGCTGGACTGCTCTGATATGCGGCCTGCTAGACCCCTAGGACGAGAGCTTTCCAGGGAGAGTTGATGCTAGAGACAGCAACAAGAGCATTTCTGAAAAAGGGGGTTGGCAAAAAACGAGGAGAGGGATGGACAATGGCGTGAGGGGGAGAGGTGGATGCGGGCGCAAGGATGAAAGGGAGGGGGAAGGACGATGCCGTGGGGGTGTGGAACGTGGGCGCGAGGATGAAGGGAGGGAGAAAGAAGAGCCGTGGTGTGCTAGGAAGGCGGGACGTGGATGAGCGCAAGTACGACTGGCCGAGGGCGGGATGAGGGTGCCCTTCTGCGACGGGCAGGGAGGGGGGACGTGGGTGCGCAATTGGTGGAACAAGAGGGGAATTTGCGACGCGACATGGGCGCTATTGATCTGCTGGGAGGGGGGGGGGCCGGCGAGAAGGGGTGAACACGCGCAACAAGGGAGATTTAGGGGGGCAGGGCGAAATGGTAATTCGTGCCTACCCAAAACCAGCAAGAAATGCGAAACGGCACTTAAACACACAAAAAAAACGCCAAAAGCCCCACCTCCCCGCGCGTTCTTGTCCTAAAGTCACTGATTTCATTACAGAAGTGCGACATCGTAACTACTGGGTTTCGAGGGAGCTTTGCGGGTGTTTACCCAGCCTGTCGTTGGTAGTGCTGGTTACAGCGACGGTGGGATTTGCGCGAGATTTGGAGACCGCGCGGAGACCAAAACGCGACACTATTGGCCAACCATCCGGCCCAATTGGTCGGCAACCTGGTGAGGTCTCTGTGCTGCGCATCGCACAACGAAGATAAGGTAAGGCGGTGCTCGTAAGTAATTTAGAACCAGTCAGCGGTCGCCAGCGGGTAGATTTTACAACATACACGCCAGCTGTACTGCTGGAAGGTGTTGCTGCTCGGTTGGGGCGCTGGCAGTGTTTGCTAGTGCACCCAACTTTCCATGGGCTGCTGTTGGGCTGCTGAACCCAACAAAACAGTGTGTTGCTTCGTAACATTCCAAACCTTCTACATGCATTCCAAACATTCTATATAGTTTTAGTGCCTAAACCCGGATCTAGGTAGGATAGACAAGTACCTGGTTCGCATCGTAGAACTAACCTGTAAGTTGGTTGAGGTGGTTGTATTTTATGCGCATCCTAGTCCCAGAGATGCAATGGTGACCTGAAAATGGTTAGTTGTTGCGTACGACTTTGTGGAATGCGCGTTTTGAATTACGTTTTATATCGGAATTAGGTGCTTTTAACATGCCTCCCTCCCTTTTGTCACATTCGACGGCTTTGGGTCTTTTTCAGGTGATGGGACTAGCTGGGATACAGGGGTGGCCCAGTATGCTATCCTAGTGCCACCTTAATGAACCAAGACTACTTGGTTCAAAAACCAACTTTTGCACCACCTTCTTTTTGTGCCAGTGACCTATGACCATTATGGTAATGGACCTCCCAGCAAACTTCTAATATGTTTGGTTAACGTTTGGTTGTGATTTTTTGACATTGCATGCTTTGTTTTGTGTCCCATGTTGTTCTTAGCTCAGATTCAAGGTGAGCCATTTCTGGTTCCGTTATGTGGCGTGGGAATCATAGGGTTGGACTCCCCAGGATCCTCCCTGGCCAATTTTACCATAGTTGGATCACATTTGTTTGTGATTTGTTGTCTTCGCATGTTTTGGTTTGTGTCTCTTTCTGCTTTTCCTCTCAGATTCAGGGTGTGTCGATTTGGGGTTCGTCTCTTGGAGTGCGGAACACGAGGGTGGACTCGCCATGGACCTCCCACCCAAATCCCAGCCCCAACAGAGGACGGTGGTATGTTGGGGTGACGTTAAGGTGCAGGTGTTGAGTGTTTTAAAGGTTAATCTGCTCTCGTTTTTTAGTCATTGCGTGATTCGTTCCGCTCTTTTCCGGGGGCAGTTGGGCGTAGAGTTGCCACGGACCTTCCTCCCAATTCCCAGCCCCACAGCTGCACAGAGATATGCGGGAGAGGCTGTCTAGTGCTGAATTTGTTTGTTTCAGGTTGAATTCGCACTCTTTTTCAATCCCTCCCATATAAACCACCGTCTTTTAACATAGGGAAAGTAGATTTGGTGTTGCCATGGACCTATCACCCAACCTTTGGCCCCAACCGAGCACGGAGGTATGCCGGGGGGGCTTTGGTTGCTTGTTTTTGAAAGTTTTTGTGTGAGTTCGCACCCAGTTCCAACCCCTGTCCTATTTGGTTCCCTTTTCTAACATGGGGAAACTGGTTATGGTGTCTACATGGACCTTCCACCCTGATCCCAGCCCCAGAGGAGCACGGAGGCATGCGGGGGGGCTTGTAGGGGGCGGAATTTGCTTGTTTTTGAAAGTTTTTGTGTGAATTCGCACCCAGTTCCAACCCCTGCCGTATTTGGTTCCCTTTTCTAACGTGGGGAAACCGGTTATGGTGTCAACATGGACTTTCCACCCTGATCCCAGCCCCAGAGGAGCACGGAGGCATGAGGGGGGGCTTGTAGGGGGCGGAATTTGCTTGTTTTTGAAAGTTTTTGTGTGAGTTCGCACCCAGTTCCAACCCCTGTCCTATTTGGTTCCCTTTTCTAACATGGGGAAACTGGTTATGGTGTCTACATGGACCTTCCACCCTGATCCCAGCCCCAGAGGAGCACGGAGGCATGCGGGGGGGCTTGTAGGGGGCGGAATTTGCTTGTTTTTGAAAGTTTTTGTGTGAATTCGCACCCAGTTCCAACCCCTGCCGTATTTGGTTCCCTTTTCTAACGTGGGGAAACCGGTTATGGTGTCAACATGGACTTTCCACCCTGATCCCAGCCCCAGAGGAGCACGGAGGCATGAGGGGGGGCTTGTAGGGGGCGGAATTTGCTTGTTTTTGAAAGTTTTTGTGTGAGTTCGCACCCAGTTCCAACCCCTGTCCTATTTGGTTCCCTTTTCTAACATGGGGAAACTGGTTATGGTGTCTACATGGACCTTCCACCCTGATCCCAGCCCCAGAGGAGCACGGAGGCATGCGGGGGGGCTTGTAGGGGGCGGAATTTGCTTGTTTTTGAAAGTTTTTGTGTGAATTCGCACCCAGTTCCAACCCCTGCCGTATTTGGTTCCCTTTTCTAACGTGGGGAAACCGGTTATGGTGTCAACATGGACTTTCCACCCTGATCCCAGCCCCAGAGGAGCACGGAGGCATGAGGGGGGGCTTGTAGGGGGCGGAATTTGCTTGTTTTTGAAAGTTTTTGTGTGAGTTCGCACCCAGTTCCAACCCCTGTCCTATTTGGTTCCCTTTTCTAACATGGGAAACTGGTTATGGTGTCTACATGGACCTTCCACCCTGATCCCAGCCCCAGAGGAGCACGGAGGCATGCGGGGGGGCTTGTAGGGGGCGGAATTTGCTTGTTTTTGAAAGTTTTTGTGTGAATTCGCACCCAGTTCCAACCCCTGCCGTATTTGGTTCCCTTTTCTAACGTGGGGAAACCGGTTATGGTGTCAACATGGACTTTCCACCCTGATCCCAGCCCCATAGGAGCACGGAGGCATGAGGGGGGGCTTGTAGGGGGCGGAATTTGCTTGTTTTTGAAAGTTTTTGTGTGAATTCGCACCCAGTTCCAACCCCTGCCGTATTTGGTTCCCTTTTCTAACGTGGGGAAACTGGTTATGGTGTCAACATGGACCTTCCACCCTGATCCCAGCCCCAGAGGAGCACGGAGGCATGAGGGGGGGCTTGTAGGGGGCGGAATTTGCTTGTTTTTGAAAGTATTTGTGTGAATTCGCACCCAGTTCCAACCCCTGTCGTATTTGGTTCCCTTTTCTAACATGGGGAAACTGGTTATGGTGTCTACATGGACCTTCCACCCTGATCCCAGCCCCAGAGGAGCACGGAGGCATGCGGGGGGGCTTGTAGGGGGCGGAATTTGCTTGTTTTTGAAAGTTTTTGTGTGAATTCGCACCCAGTTCCAACCCCTGCCGTATTTGGTTCCCTTTTCTAACGTGGGGAAACTGGTTATGGTGTCAACATGGACCTTCCACCCTGATCCCAGCCCCAGAGGAGCACGGAGGCATGAGGGGGGGCTTGTAGGGGGCGGAATTTGCTTGTTTTTGAAAGTATTTGTGTGAATTCGCACCCAGTTCCAACCCCTGTCGTATTTGGTTCCCTTTTCTAACATGGGGAAACTGGTTATGGTGTCTACATCGACTTTCCACCCTGATCCCAGCCCCAGAGGAGCACGGAGGCATGAGGGGGGGCTTGTAGGGGGCGGAATTTGCTTGTTTTTGAAAGTTTTTGTGTGAATTCGCACCCAGTTCCAACCCCTGCCGTATTTGGTTCCCTTTTCTAACATGGGAAAACCGGTTATGGTGTCTACATGGACTTTCCACCCTGATCCCAGCCCCACCCTGATCCCAGCCCCACCCTGATCCCAGCCCCAGAGGAGCACGGAGGCATGCGGGGGGGGGGGGCTGTAGGGGGCGGAATCAGCTTTTTTTTTTTTTTTTTTTGAATTCACACTCATTTTCAACCCCTGACATACTTGGTTGCATTTTGAGAGGAGGGGGAACCGATTGTGGTGTTGCAATGGACCTCCCAATCCAATAGGAGGGGCAACATCTGGAGCCCCAACTGAGCACGAAGGTTTGCGGGGTGGGCTCTTGCTTGTAGTACTTGTGTGTTGTTGGGACTACAATGTGTGGTGTTTTAAACCTTGTTGGTGAATGCGTCTATCACCCGTCGTGTCGTTTTTTATTTATTCTCCAAGCATGGTTGTTTGGTGGGAAACCTACAATGCACCACGCATGCATGGTTTTGTTTTCTGTATTTAACGTTTGCGACCACATGTACTGCTATCCCTATCATGAATTGTGCTCGTAGCTACTGACTCCTCATTTGTATCACTTAGGGTTGCCCCCGCGCATCTGGATCGCGATCGAAACCCTTTGTGATGTTTGAAACTCGAAGTTCGTAACTGTCGTGCAGCAGTAACTAGTAGTTTAGGCGCCAGCGCCAACTGCGTTTTCCCGCGTTACGATGATCGACCCCCTGCCTCGCCTGCTTCACCTCGCCTCTTTCATGTTGTATTTAGAGCAGTGGTGAATACAGAGGACTTATACTTGTCCGAACGGAACTCCCCTTCCCTCTCAGGCCGACCAGCAATGACCAGCAACGAATGGATAACGTGCGGTTTCTGTGAGAAGCACTTTCGCAACGCCCAGGCCTTTGGTCAACACAAGGGTACTGCGAACTCGTGCCGCCGTAAGCATGCTGCTGGGCGGGCTGTGCAGAGCCCTTCCATGTCTCAGTACCTTTTCATGACGTTGGACGCACCACAGCCCGCTCCTATCGACGCACCTCCAAGCCCGTTGGCGAGTTCGTCCGGGCTTCCATTGCCGTCCGAGGGCGAGGCGGACACCGTAAACTCCGACAATGCATCGTACGGTTCGAACGAAGACCCTCTCCCTCACCTGGATGTGCTCGGTGACGCGCAATCTGCTGACATCAGCAACTATGTCGACCCGGCGCACGCTCCAGCGCCTCCTATTCTTATCGCGCCGAACTTTACGCCGCCTCCGCACACACATCCTCTCGTGCTGCGCTTCATCCACCTCGTCCGCCTCGCAAACGGAAAAATGGGGATGACGGAGGTGGATATCAACAAGATACTCCAACTCCTCATGCATCCGGAGCTCGCGCAGGCTATCCTATCGGAGTTCACCAACTGCAAGGAGCTCGAACGCTTTGAGCTTGAGCAGCTGTCGGGGTTGGGCCGCGGTTGGAGCGTCGCCACGTTCAACGTCGACGGCTTCAAGCCCCAGATCCTGTTCTTCAGAGATCCGGCACAGGCAAGTTCATTTCCAGCTTTCCATCACAGTAAACCTATTGACACTAGGATGGCAGCACGATGATGCCATGCTCCGTTTGTTTAACCTAAATGCTCACATGGTTTCTCTGGTCTTCAAACTCTCCCTGCCCCGCCCTTCCCATGCTTCAGAGAAGTTGAAACGAACCCTTTCCGCGTCCCTGTGCCCCAATGTGCCCCAGCTCCGATATTCCCGCTGCCAAACGAAACCTCCGAACCAGTTTCTGGTGTGAACTTTCTGCACCCCTGTTTCACATTGTGCATCATAGAGTGGTGACCTCATAACCCACCTCTGGCTCTGGTTTTGCCCAGGCAGCTCGAATACGCCTTCCCATGCGCCAACTTTTTATTTCAGTCATTGACTCCATTTCCCTTTCCTACTCTGCCTCTAGTTTAACCTAAGCGACTCTCATCCCAACCTACCCCGCCCCAGTCTCTCGCCTCTTTGCGCCTACCCCCTTAACCCTATTCCACCCCCTCCCCCATCCCCACCCGCCTCCTTTGTTTCCCTCCCTGCTAGGCCCTCGCTGACTTGTTCGGTCATCCGAACAACGCCCCTGGGTTCGTTCTCAAGCCGCGCATTGACACCGATCCGGCGACTGGGCAGAGGTGCTATACCACGCCAGAGACAGGCACCTGGTGGCACAGTGCTCAGGTACATTGCATTGGCCGAGGCTAGGTTCCCTGCCGCTTCTGCCTTCCCACCCCTTGCCGCTGTAAGTCTCGGCTCCTCTAACGCCCTGTCTGTTATTACCACAACTTATTTGCAGGCCCACGTCGGCGATGGCGCGGTAGTTGCTGCCATCATTCTCTACAGTGACGTCACCCATCTCAGTGAGAATGGGCGCAAGAAGGCGTGGCCCGTGATGATGACCATCGCCAACATCCGTCAGGGCGGGCGCTGGGCGACGTCGGGGCACTGCCTGCTGGGCAATCTCCCAATCCCACCCAAGGGGATGCCTTCGGCGCAGAAAACTCAACTCTTTCAGCAGGGGGCTCTCACCATGCTGCATACGATTTTGGAGGGTCGTGAGTGGTAAGAGCGTTAGCAAGAAGTGCGTGGCTGTGACCATCCTGCTGCCTAACGCAATCCTTCTCCCCCCACCGCGCCCCCCACCCCCCCACCACCCTCGGATCTCTCGATTGAACGTCTCTCACATCTTTCCCCTAGTTTTGTGCATGCACCTTCTAGCTGAGCTCACTGTTTCTGCACTGCCCCCTCCTCCAATTGACTTGCCACCCCAGCGGATTCTTGCTAAAAGACCCGAACGGCGTGGAGCACCTTGTCAAGCCAATGCTCTACGCGTGGGTCTGCGACTACCCAGAGAGCGGGAAAGTCACGTGCACCCTCTCCGGCGGCACAAGTCGACCGTGCAGCATCTGCTATGCCGAGAAGGTGTGTGCACCGCTTCACCCTATTACTTCTTACCCTTTTATCTCTCTCCCTGCTACCTCAAACCTTGTTACCGCTTACCCAGTCACCACCCACCCTGCTACCTATGACGCTGTTACCTCCTACTCTGTTACCTATAACCCGGGTACGTCTAACCCAGTTACCTCTAACTTGGTTACCTCTTACCCGCTTACGTCTTACCCGGTTACCTCTACCATGCCTCAGGAACACCTTGACTGCGTGACGGCCGAGAACACTCCTCGGACCCCGGCCCGACAGCAGTGGATTGTTGACAATTGGGCGAACAAGCTGGGCACCAAGAAAGCTGCTGGAGTTCAGTTCTCCACGTTCGGCATGGAGGTTAGTGCCTCTTCACCCCCCTAATCTCCGTGATGCTTGCTGTGGTACCTTTCTGTCCCCATCCGGTTGCAATCACCCTATCCGAGCTAGACACCAAGCCCCCCGGCAACGCCTTTCTGGCCCCCACAGCCGTTACCCTCCCTAATTAAACTTTGATCTGGTATGTTGAACCCTGTCGGCTACCCTACTTTGATGCAGTGCGCCCTCTGGCTGTGGGATGTGCCTGGTGCGCCCTGGGCGAACCCTTACCTGGCCATCATGCCGGACATAATGCACCAGGCGGACCTCGGGATCTTGCACCACATGATTTCCGCAATCCGCTCCTCCCACAAAGGCAGTCTCGCCACCTTTGACGAGTAAGGGTCACACTCATATCTCGTACCATGCCACTTGCTCCACCACTACTGTGAATGCCTTTTGCCTTTCCGCATCCATCCCTCCTTTGCCCATCCTCCATCCATCCCAACCCCGTCCGCGTCCATCCCTCCCTTGCCCATGCACCATCCATCCTCTGTTCCGTCTCTTCACCTTGCTGCATCACTCCGTCTCTTCACCTTGCTGCATCACTCCGTCTCTTCACCTTGCTGCATCACTCCGTCCTTTCACCTTGCTGCATCACTCCGTCCCTAAACCCTGCTGCATCACTCTGTCCCTTCACCTTGCTGCATCACTCCGTCTCTTCACCTTGCTGCATCACTCCGTCTCTTCACCTTGCTGCATCACTCCATCCCTTCACCTTGCTGCATCACTCCGTCCTTTCACCTTGCTGCATCACTCCATCCCTTCCCCTTGCTGCATCACTCCGTCCCTTCGCCTTGCTGCATCACTCCATCTCTTCGCCTTGCTGCATCACTCCATCTCTTCGCCTTGCTGCATCACTCCGTCTCTTCACCTTGTTGCATCACTCCGTCTCTTCACCTTGCTGCATCACTCCGTCTCTTCGCCTTGCTGCATCACTCCGTCTCTTCACCTTGCTGCATCACTCCGTCTCTTCACCTTCCTGCATCACTCCGTCCCTTCACCTTGCTGCATCACTCCGTCTCTTCCCCTTGCTGCATCACTCGCTGCATCACTCCGTCTCTTCACCTTGCTGCATCACTCCGTCTCTTCACCTTGCTGCATCACTCCGTCTCTTCACCTTGCTGCATCACTCCGTCCCTTCCCCTTGCTGCATCACTCCGTCCCTTCGCCTTGTTGCATCACTCCATCTCTTCGCCTTGCTGCATCACTCCGTCTCTTCCCCTTGCTGCATCACTCCATCTCTTCGCCTTGCTGCATCACTCTGTCTCTTCGCCTTGCTGCATCACTCCGTCTCTTCGCCTTGCTGCATCACTCCGTCTCTTCACCTTCCTGCATCACTCCGTCTCTTCACCTTGCTGCATCATTCCGTCTCTTCACCTTGCTGCATCACTCCGTCTCTTCACCTTGCTGCATCACTCCGTCTCTTCACCTTGCTGCATCGGCCTCCCTAGACTGCACCTGTGCTCCACACCTCTCCCTTCCAGCCTGCCCCTCTGGCTCTCCTCCCTTGCTCCTGTCTGCTTCCCTTGCACACCTCACCTACACCATTCCCTTGCTACACAACCCCCTTCCCTTGTGCACCTCTGTTTCCCCTCCCTTGCTCAGCTACCCCCGACAGCTCGAATGGCTGGCTCCCCTTGCTTGCTGCTACCCACTTCCATTTCGCACCTCTGTTTCCCCCTCCCTTTGCTGCATTCCCCCTCCCCCTGTGCTCGTCTATTGATCCCTCCCTTGCTCCATTCTCCCCTTCCTATTTTCACCTCTGGTTCTGCCATTTTGCTGTCCCTCCACCCACACACCCCTTCCCTTCTGCAGGAGGCTCACACAGATCCGTGAGGAGACTCGAATGACGAACCTACGTTTCCCTGAGACTGCCTATTTCGAGTCTGGCGCATGTGTCGCCGCCCACGAGCACCGCGCTGTCTTGATGGTACGTGTTTTGTCAATACAGCTATTGAATGCTTCAGAGATATGTGCTTTAGGTACCTTCTAGAAAACTGCACCTATACTAATCCAACCCCACCTAACTAGGTGCTACTTTTCATCGTGGCAGACACGTTGGAGGAGAAGCGGCTGAGCGCGATCCGCGCGTACCTTGAGTGGTACATCTTCTGCGCTCAGCCATGCCACACCGAGAGGAGCCTGTCGACTCTAGAGGAGTTGACGCATAGGTAATTTTAAGTGCAATGAACAAATGCTTGAACATAAAGCTTGATTATCTTATAAATACTTGTGGCTATCAAGATTTACACATGTGAGAATTCTATATACACGCTCTAGGTATTTTGCAAAAAAAATCAAATGCCACACAAACCCACCCCAACAGGCTGGTCAAGCAGCTGCAGGATGCTTTTCCAGAGCAAAAGTCAGATTGGTGTTTAATCAAAACGCACCTGATGACTCACTATGCGGCAGCTATCAGGAGAGCAGGTAATGTATCAGAGTTCGCAACCGCCATGTTTGAGCATCTGCATGGCCCGTTGCTAAAACGGATCTACCGACGATCCAACAAGCGCAATGTTGAGACTCAGATAATGAAGCATCATGAGAAGAGGGCAGCCTACCTCACGCTTGACACGCCCGAACACGCACGCAACACTGCAATGCAGCAGGTAAATGACTCTTATGAGCGCATGTGCCAAGTTTCCCCCCTGTTGTTTCACTATTTTATTGACAACTATATGCTATACATGCAGGCCATTACCAAGGGAGTGCCTGTCCTCACGAAGGACTCCTATCCTGTCCTTGTCGCGCCTCCATCCGAGCCAACAAAAATGAACAAGTTCAACACAGGGTGGGCTAAGCAGCAACCTGAGGCGCACATCTACTTCAACATGGCGCTAATTGACTATGGAGTGAGCGCCACGAAGGTGCAGGTGAGTCATGAACACCAAATGTGTTGTCATGTACACCCTAGACCACCCTATCCTTACTCATCCATCGTCTTGCGCAGGCCCATCCGACAATGGCACTTCCTGCAGATGGTGGAGTTAACTCCTCCAAGCTCGCCCACTTTGTCCGGGCTACACCTGACTGCTACAAGCGACCATGGTTCTCAAATGTGGCAGTATCGTGCGTTGGTAATGTGGTGGAGTACGCCAAGGTGTTGCTCCTGTTCCACTGCAAGAGACGCTGCGTACGGCATGACCTTGCGTACGTGCGGTACTACAGGACGCGTGGCGTGGATGCAGCCACAGGGTGTGTGAGGCTGAGCTGGCCAGCACCAGAGCTTTCATATAGCGTGGTTCCGATTTCGTCAATATTGCGTCACGTCCAGATCGTGAGGATGTTTGACAAGAATGAGCCAGACGTGTTTTTGCACAATAAGTATATTGTTTAACAGTACAGCACAACCAAGTTTTGTATAAATTTGTATATACACATAGGACTAAAATAGTGAATTTGAAGTCCAATAATGCATTTTGTGATATAACGGGTTGAAAACTATCCGAAATCGGCCTGTAATGCACCTGCGAAATTGCGCAGGCGAATCGCCGTCAAATTGCAGGGTGGAAATTTTCCGATTGAAACTGAGGGGTTGGCTGCCTGACAAGTGGCCTCAACAACCCGCGAGCACACAAAAAAAAAGGGGGGAACTTTGCGATGGGCCTTGGCCGGCGAGGCTAGTAACGGGGGAGTCTCTCCCAGTGGGAGACGGCCCGTGAAGCGAGAGCCTGGGCGACTGCTCTTGAACAGGTGACGCAGGTGACCTAATCGGTGACCTGGATAGGTACGGGATCAGTCGGTTTCGTCGCTCCGCGAGTGAAAGGCCGCGGAGTTCCGACGAGGGTGGTAGCTCCGGTTTCTCCGACCAGGAAGTCTCTTTCGCCATGGATACTAACATAAACCAGTAATACTAAAGCTCTACACAATCGGACTCGATGAAAGTACTGTTAGTCGATGTGAGAGCCGCGGTTGAAATTACAGTGACATGCTGAAGCTTGGAGTTTAATAGCCGACTCCAGGGCATGAGCTCCTGGCAGAGGGAGAGCAAGCGACCCTCATCGCCAGAAAATCGCCGCGAGTCGTGGCGTGGAAAATGGACGCGGATCGAAAAGGGAGGATCACGTGGGAAGGAGGATCTGGGAAATATCGCACACTCATGGTTTCATTTCATCTTGGGCCAAAAATCCACGACACGTAATGCAGGGACATCAAATCGCCCATCAAAGGATTCACGCGTACGTGCGTTCTGCACCTGACGCCGGGTCCTGCCAATTCACCAAGATTCATAACTCGTGGCACCGGCCAAGTGTGAAGGGTACAGCTTGAGCCCGAGAGAGAAACGCCACCTTTTCGAGCCGCGGGAGCTTCTGTCGATTTGGTATTTCGCCGGCTTTCGCTGCTAGAAGCGAGGGATTCAGGGTGAGCTCGTTGGTAACTTTTTTTGTCGCAATAGGGGAAGGTTGGGTGGCAGAGTTCAGATTGCGTATGTAACCACGGTTACGCTGTTTTGCACTGCGACGATCAGAAACAACCCCAAGTGCTGTTTAATTAGCTATACCAATAGGTCACGAACATGACATTTGCTCACAATTTCTGCGGCTTCGATAAGTGTGCAGTTGTTTCGACCGAATAGGGCTCTAGTTCAGTTAGTTGCCAAGGGGTCATGCCATGCTGAGTCATCGAGGCGTTTCTCGTTTGCGGTGTTCCGTAGATTTCCATTGCGCTCGTGTCCTTCGCGGCTTCGCGAAAAACGCGAAAGGTCATTTGGGCCTGGACGAACCGCCCTCGCGACACCGTCCGAAAAAATGTGGCGAAGACCAGAAGGCTGCAACTGCTTCGTCGCTGTCCGCATGTTCAGCCCCGCTGTCATGATAACTCAGCACAGTTGCCGTCGCGGGGGACTCTCTCGAAATGGATACTGCCCGTAAACTTCTGCTATTGGGCGAGGGGGTGCAATTGGGATTTTTTTTTGGCAGAGCACTTTGCGGACATCGTTTGTACGGGACAACTGCCCCAAGTGTGCTGCTGAAAACGCGCCGCCACCTGGCAACAGAAAACGTCTCAGATACAAATGGTGTCCATCGTACGTCTTGCCCGTATTCCATTCCAATCGTTTTAGCCTGCCCATTTGCCCTGTTTAACGGAAAGTATACCTTTTGAGTTAATCCCCAACGGTTTCCACGTGGTGCCAGTTAATTGAGTGTGGAAAGAACCAACCATACATATGCATGTGCTTATTGACAGACTTCTGAAATATCTTGTTACAAAATGCACATTTCTGACCCATTTGCCCGTGGCGAAGCATGCGATATGTCGAATTCGACATTGTCCTCCTCGACTCGGCGAAATGGTGAGCGTCCGGTGGAAACCATTTGTAGCGTACGGGTGGCTGGATGTGCCCCACAATGTCAAATTTTCGCGGCTCTTGTGTGATGAGATTTCTTCCGACGCGAAATCGGGGTTCCGATGTCGAACTGTACCGTACAGTATCAGCGGCGGGATCCCATGGCTGGCTTCTAGTCAGAGCAAAAAAAAAAAAAAAAAAAAAAACTTGTTACTGGTTTCTGGTGCAGCTCGGTCTGGTATAGTAACTCCAAGTTTCTGTGCGATACAGTAGGATCCAGTGCGATAACTGCTCAACATCGCAACTCAGCACACGCCTGGCAACTGGAGGAGCAGATCATGTCAGGTTGAGTTCAGCCCGACTTGATTCTGTTGACTTCGCCACCACAGGGCAGAGGCAAATATTGTATGTAGGTCGTCGTTACGCCGTGTCGTTTCCGCACGCCAAAGACGACAATCTTACGAAGGATTCTGTAACTAGCCCATGTGAAGAAGTCGCTTGCTATGGTTACTTTGATAAACAATAATTTTATGCTCTTATGCACGGAATACGGGCTCGTCACATATGCATGCAAGTAGCTGACCCACTTGTTTTTGTGTAGTTTTTTCACAAGGATATAGGAAGTAGAATCCGACAATTTACAGTTTCCGCTCTTATAACGAGTGATTCTGTGCTATGTAGATTGGCGAATGAAAATGAGCCACTTGGCGGCACGTAAGGCGCCAAAATGTTCTTGTCGAATCATGCACGACGGATCTCCAAGAACCGAGCAAAGGCTTCAAGTGGCACTGCCACATCAGCGGCAGATACATTGCACGTGGCCAGCCCAAGGAAACAGATGCGGCGTGATTTCTCAGTGGCGCTATCCTGTACGGTTCGTGGACTATTTTGTGCGGCGCAGTGCGATACGTTTTCGACTTTCCCTCAGCAGCAATCTGCTCCAAATAGGGTGCTGGGGCGAAGTGCAAACTTAATTCCCGGGCAAAGTCAAGCATTATCTAGTTCTTCTTGAATTCCATGTATTAACTTGAGGTTTCTTGGCACAGGCGCGTGGTGCTATCAGCATCCATCCACTCCTGCCCTTCGTGTTCAGCCCTTTTCCCGCGCCGCTCGACCCTCTGGCTGCCCCGTTTCAGTCTTCCTTTCTCCCTCTCGATTTCTCTCCCTCTCTGATTCTTTCTCTCCGCCGCCGCGGAAGATGATTCGCACCGCGTCTCGCCAGCTTCTCTCCGCTGGGAAGTCGCTAAAAGCGGCGACTCCCGCAGAACTCGCCGCACTTGGTGGCGCAGGAGGCGGCCGTGGCCTCGCGGCGTCGCGGCAGCGGCGGGTGATACGAGCCGTACGATCGTGGCGAGCCTTCCAGATCTGCCGTACGATTATGGTGCGCTGGAGCCGGTTGTGAGCGGCGAGATCATGCAGTTGCATCACGCGAAGCACCACGCTGCTTACGTGGCGGGTTATAACAAGGCCGCGGAGCAGCTCGACGCGGCGCGCGGGAAAGGCGACACGGAGACGGTCGTGTCGCTGCAGCGAGCGATTAACTTCAATGGCGGAGGTAAGACGAGAGTAATTCGGGGTTCAGAAGACGGTGATTAAAGTGCGCGAACAAAGATTCGCGCACTAGATTCGCGCAGGAGAGACGAGCTGATAAGAAACCGCACGAGCCAAGAAGGAGAACAAAGCGGATAACCCACCTTTTGTGGCTGTTGCTTTACAAAGGGAGATTAAGTGCTTATGCGAATGCGTAGAATCACTTGCACACTCCGTCTGTGCTTCTGCTCCTCACCGCGCCTCTGCGCCTCTGCGCCTCACCTCGCGTCGAGCAACTCACCCCCGCGCCTCTGTGTGTGTGGCCGTCCTTTCGCACGCCTGTTGGAACGCATTCTTATCTGTGCGTCAGGAGCAACCGTGTTGTGCGACTGTGTGTGACCGACTGTGCGACTGTGCGACTGCATGCTTATGTGTGCGACCGTTTTGTGTGCGACCTTTTTGTGTGCGACCTTTTTGTGTGCGACCGTCTTGTGTGTGCAGGTCACGTGAATCACAGCATCTTCTGGAAGAATCTCGCTCCGATCAGCGTAAGCCCAACTGACCGGATTTCAGCACAATTGCCACAAGTGCCCCGATTGCCAACAACTGACACAATTCTTATGACTTTGACAGCAGCAAGACTGGGCGTTTATCTCGCGTCCATAATTCTTATGACAAGTCTCACCTCGCCTCCTCTTCCTCGCCGTTTGCCTCATCCCCTGCCGCAGGGGGGAGGCGGAGCGCCACCTGAGGGCCCTCTAGCCGCAGGGGGGAGGCGGAGGGAGGCGCAGGGGGGAGGCGGAGGGAGGCGCAGGGGGGAGGCGGAGGGAGGCGCAGGGGGGAGGCGGAGCACCACCTGAGGGCCCTCTAGCCGCTGCCATTGACGCGGAGTTTGGGTCGTTGGACGCCCTTATCGCCAAGCTCAGTGCTGCGCGGACTGACTCATTCCCCCTTCACGCTGTTCCCCCTTTTTTCCTCTCCTCGCTCTTTAACAGGAGGGAGGCGGCGCCCCTCCGGAAGGCCCTCTAGCCGCCGCCATTGATGCGCAGTTTGGGTCGTTGGACGCCCTTATTGCCAAGTTTAGTGCTGCTGGCGCTGGCGTGCAGGGGTCCGGATGGGTGGTGAGTGACTGTAGGCCGTGTGACTGTAACGGGTGTGATGTAGTGACTTGGACCTTATTCCGGATGATTGTAGCAAACATGTGTTTGGTTTCGTGGACGCCCTTATCGCCAAGTTCAGTGCTGCTGGCACTGGCGTGCAGGGGTCCGGATGGGTGGTGAGTGGGTCTAATGCGTGTCATTCTAGCAACGTCATGTGCTCCCCATTGCTCATTCCACCAAAGCCAGCCTCCGACCATGTCACACCCTTGGGATATTCCCTGGTCACACCATGTCAAACTCCTCTGCTCTTTTGCACTCCCTCCCCTCTGTGCCTCGTGCCACTCCTATTTCTTTCTGCAGTGGCTGGGCCTGAATGACAGGAAGAAGCTGGCGATTGTCACGACACCCAATCAGGACGCGTGTGTGACTACGGGCCACGTGCCTCTACTGGGCGTGGATGTCTGGGAGCACGCTTACTACCTTCAAGTGAGTTCCTTCTAGACTCTTGCAGCCAAGCATCTGAGTGAAGCCGGCATGTGTGACTACAGGCCACATTCCAGCATGTGTGAATGTCTGGGAGCATGCCTACTACTGTCAGGTATGTCCCTTCTAGGCTCTTCCAGGAAAGCAAGCAGTAACGTCTTCTTCCTTGTTCCTTGCAGCCAGTTTCTGACCTTTTGAGATGACTTTTGAGTCGACTCAAAAGTCACCTACTCAAAAGTCTCTTCCAGGAAAGCAAGCAATAACGTCTTCTTCCTTGTTCCTTGCAGCCAGTTTCCTCTCTCTTGCCTTGCAAGGGCCTTTGCCTGGCTGTGAGCGGCTGTTGGGTGCATGTCGCCGTATTTTGGTTCCTTGTAAAATGCATGAGTGCAGGCACTTGATTCCATTTTAAGAGTTACGTTTTCCACACTGTCCCTGCTGCCGTACATTCATCTGGCTTCATGTGTTTCAGTACAAGAATGTCCGTCCTGACTACTTGAAGAACATCTGGAAGATCATTAACTGGAAAGATGTAGCTTCTCGCTACACCGCTGCTTCTTAGAGGGAAAATACCTAATAAACTTGATAACCTGATGTTGGTTCTACAATTCTTAGTAAAATTGGTTTTGCGTTTTGAGTGTTTTGGTTTTGGTAGTTGGTGTATGACCCTGGTTGCATGGGAGCGAGTAAGGGAAGTGGTATTTCATTAAGACATTTACACTTTCAAACATGACCGTGTTCATTAACACAATGGAATGGTGTTTCAACAAACCGAATGCAAGGAAAAGCCGAGTGATGTTTCTATAACGTGTATTAGGGTGAGCTCCTACCCACCGTTTCATGCGGGAAGCGCGCCCTGGCCAGACCTGACCAGACCACAAGCCGCCATCGCGGCTTCGGTTCGCTTGTCGCTGACATGTCGGCTCGTACCGCCACGCCACACTACTCCGCAGGAATTCCACCACAAAATTTGGGGGCTCTGCCCGTAGGTGTTGAGGTGGTTTCGTGGCAAGGCATTATTGTCAGGCGAGACTACCCTCTGCCCGTCCGCCGAGAAGAAACAACGATGTCTACCAATCAAAAGGCACGCCAGTTGGGCCTGCGATTTGAGGTTCGGGCTTCCTCGCGTTGCCCGCCCTTACTAAAACGGGCCTAACCAAAGGTGCTGGGTTCCTTCGCAAACCGCGTGAACACTTCATGTAACCAGAACTCCTTTCGTGACTCCACTCCGCAGGCAGCAGCACTCCTTTCGCAAGCAGCTCGCGTCGGCCATCGCCGAGTCGTTCTTTCACGAGTTCCCTTCAACGGCTCCTCGTCACATCACGACCACCTCGGGCAGCTGAAATTGCGCTGCTTTCGGCTGGTTGGACTCCAAGATAACATTCCCAAGCCATACCCCCCTTCCCCACCCCACCTCCCCTTCTCCTTCCCTTTCCACTTTCTGACTTTCTGAACAAGACAAGGTGCTACTAATGTCAAGCACTAGAACATATTAGACCCCCTAACGCATAGTAGGTTTGTTCTCTCCCATTCTTCACTTCATTCCCGCGTCTTGTGGGTCCTAGGCCACACCCGCCATGTCTGAGCGCAGCAACTATTCCTACAACGGGCCGCGTCCCAACCCGCTTTACGGCGGCCCCAAGTCTTCTAAAGCCACCAGCTCCAGCAGCCAGAACCCCTCATGGGTGCGCCGCGAGCCCTCCGCATCGCATGCCTACAGTGACTCCAACTGCTCTCCCGGCGCCTCGCCCGCGCGCAGCAACCGCAGCGGCGGAGGGCCCTATTACGCGCCGCAGTATGAGAACCCCGGGTATACCGTCGAGACCCCTGGGCACTATAACGGGTTCGGGACAGGCCCGGGATCCGTCGGCGGAAGCTCCATCCCCGCCGCGTCGCCTTACCGCCCAACCGCGTCTTATTTCGTGCAGACGCCCGCGCATTCCGATCGCGCGGGGCTGTTCAGCTCCCCCGGGTCGTCCGCGCCGTCGTCGCCGCGGTTCGGCGACGACGACGCGCGGAGCATGCGATCCGGGCGAGGCGGCGCGTCCGTGGCGATCAACGGCGGCGACGACGACGACGAGTGCGACGACTTTTACCCCGACCACATGAGGGACGCGGACCGGCGACAAAAGTGGTGGATCGCCTTCTGGGCGTGGGTCACGCTGATCGCGGGGCTCACGCTGGTGGGAGGCGCGATCGCGTGCTGGATAATTTTCCAGCCGTCGGAGCCGACGTACACTTTCGACGTACGTTGAATCGCACGGTTTGAATTCTTACGTTTCGTTAATTCTCACTTCACCGGTTCGCGAGCTTCCGATTCCAATTCCGATTTGCTACTTTGCCCTGGTGCCAACTTGCCCTCCTCTCAGCAAAAGCGCACCGCGCCCTGGTCTTTACGCTGATGGCACCCCGCGTCCAGCCCCTAACGTTCTTCTCTCCGCGTGTTCCTTTCCATTTTGTACTTCCCGATTCCTCCGTGTCGTGCGTACAGTACGTGATGGTGAACCAGTTTTCCGTCTACGAGAACATGCTTGACGGTAACGGAATGGCGACGGACCACCTGTACGCGAACATGACGTTCATCTTCTCTATAAAGAACCCCAATACGCGCTTCAACACGTGGTTCGACGGCGGCGACCTCTCCATCAGCTACGACAACATGGCGAATATCATGAAAACTAAGGTGAGAGCCGCTCGCCGTTACCGTTTTTACCCAGTGAGCCGACTCCCCGTGCGTGTCTTGAGTAAATTCAAAAGCATCTCTCCATCAGCTACGACAGCACGACAACATGGCGACTATCGTGAAACTAAGGTACGAGCGGAGAGAAATGCAATATCTCTCTATGTTATATTCCCCCCTCCTGTCTACTATATCTCCCCCTCATCTCTCTCTCTCTCTCTCTCTCTCTCTCTCTCTCTCTCTCTCTCTCTCTCTCTCTCTCTCTCTCTCTCTCTCTCTCTCTCTCTCTCTCTCTCTCTCTCTCTCTCTCTCTCTCTCTCTCTCTCTCTTGTTCTGAGCCAGTGATCCATCTCCCTACGTGTATCTCCCAGTGTGTATCTCCCCTCCCGCCCCGCCGGCCCCCCCCCCCCACCTCCCCTCATCCCCCCCTTTCCCCCCACCTTTCCCCCTCCTCCCTTTCCCCCTCCTCCCTTTCCCCCTCCTCCCTTTCCCCCACTTTCCCCCCCCTTCCCTTTCTCTCAGCTTCCGACATTTCTGCAAGAGAGCAGGAGTGGTCGAGCTTCAACCGCTCGCTGTCAACCATGGCGTTTCCGCTCTACGCGGGGGGGACGCACCTGCGCGCGGACGTGGCGGAGCAGTTCGTTCCGCTGAAGCTGAACGCGACGCTCAACAGCCACGTGGACGTGGCGTGGAAAATCATCCAGCCGAAGTACTCGCAGCTGCTGGAATGCGTGGTTCACATTAACCCCGCGTCTCTACAGTACATCAACGATACTTGCACGCTGACAATGCTCAACAAAAAATTGTAGAGCCTAAATAAGCGGAGCTTAGGATTTGAAACTGTTTCTGCATAAAACTACAGAAGCTACAGCACATGACGGTAAGGGCAGGAATGAAAGGTATTCCTGAGTTGGGGTTTCCATAGGCTTTGCTTCGGTGACGGCTCGGAGTGCGGCTTGGGGCCAGGCACGTTCGGAGGTTCGTACACCAGGTTTGGGAAAGAGATGATGGGCCTAGTGCAGAAGGAAATGAGAGCAGTCACGGAGCCGGCTGTCAGCAACCAGGGAGGCAATTTGTGGAGGGGTGAGTAGAGGAAGAGGAAGGAATGGGAATGTTTGGATGGTGATGGAAACGGCTGGAGTAAATTCTGACGAACTTCTAGGCGTCTTAGAAAGGTGTACATGCGTGCTTAGCTAGGATTAAGGTGCTATGTTGGAATAAAAGATGATTGTATCAATTGCAACGTGCGAAGGCCCGCATGCAAGCCACGTAAGGCCTTCCTACAGCTTTATTTGACGAAAGCCATTTCTGAAATTCTAAAATTAATACAATAACAATGTGGCCACAACGTTTCATTAGAGGTCACCATGTAACAATTGTTGCTCGTTTCAAAATCAACGAATTATGCAGTCGGATTTCTCAAAAGCGCATCACGCGAAGTGTCACTGGTTCATCGCAACAAACCTTCCCACCTCGTTGCAACGCACCGAATCCACTCCCACCCAAAACTGTCGATAGATCCGTTGCAACTTACGGGCTCACTCGCCATTCTTTATCTCGCGGACCAACTGATGCCATTCCTCCACCCACTGTTGAGGAAATATGAGACGCGGGCTGTAGCTAGTTTCTCTCTAAGGGCCAGGTTCCCCCAAACCTTCCGTCTGTAGCCCGACTTTCTCCCCGCCTTTCTCCCCGCCTTTCTCTCCGCATTTCTCTCCGCCCATACCGCGCACTGCTCTCCGCCGCCCTCAGCATGAGTTTCCGCGGAGGCGGAACGGCTGGCGGAAGCGCGCGGAAGGGCCCGCAATACGTGCGCCACATCCCCAAGTTCCTGCAGGTGCTGCGCTTCCGCCTTTCGGCCCTTCCCCGTCCCCCTGCCTGCTGCGCTTTCCCCTTCCGCGTGTTCCTCCCCCTTCCCCCTTGTCCCCCTACCTGCTTCTGACTGCTTTCCGAACGCCTTGTTCCCGAATCTGGGGGAGTGGGTGGGTGTTGGGGGGTGGTCCGGGGTGGGGGGAGGGGGGGAGAGGAATTGTGTTTTGAGGCGCCTCAAAACGAGGGGGGGAGAGGAATTGTGTTTTGAGGCGCCTCAAAACGAGGGGGGGAGAGGAATTGTGTTTTGAGGCGCCTCAAAACGAGGGGGGGAGAGGAATTGTGTTTTGAGGCGCCTCAAAACGAGGGGGGGAGAGGAATTGTGTTTTGAGGCGCCTCAAAACGAGGGGGGGAGAGGAATTGTGTTTTGAGGCGCCTCAAAACGAGGGGGGGAGAGGAATTGTGTTTTGAGGCGCCTCAAAACGAGGGGGGGAGAGGAATTGTGTTTTGAGGCGCCTCAAAACGAGGGGGGGGAGAGGAATTGTGTTTTGAGGCGCCTCAAAACGAGGGGGGGAGAGGAATTGTGTTTTGAGGCGCCTCAAAACGAGGGGGGAGAGGAATTGTGTTTTGAGGCGCCTCAAAACGAGGGGGGGAGAGGAATTGTGTTTTGAGGCGCCTCAAAACGAGGGGGGGAGAGGAATTGTGTTTTGAGGCGCCTCAAAACGAGGGGGGGAGAGGAATTGTGTTTTGAGGCGCCTCAAAACGAGGGGGGGAGAGGAATTGTGTTTTGAGGCGCCTCAAAACGAGGGGGGGAGAGGAATTGTGTTTTGAGGCGCCTCAAAACGAGGGGGGGAGAGGAATTGTGTTTTGAGGCGCCTCAAAACGAGGGGGGGGAGAGGAATTGTGTTTTGAGGCGCCTCAAAACGAGGGGGGGAGAGGAATTGTGTTTTGAGGCGCCTCAAAACGAGGGGGGGGAGAGGAATTGTGTTTTGAGGCGCCTCAAAACGAGGGGGGGAGAGGAATTGTGTTTTGAGGCGCCTCAAAACGAGGGGGGGAGAGGAATTGTGTTTTGAGGCGCCTCAAAACGAGGGGGGGAGAGGAATTGTGTTTTGAGGCGCCTCAAAACGAGGGGGGGAGAGGAATTGTGTTTTGAGGCGCCTCAAAACGAGGGGGGGAGAGGAATTGTGTTTTGAGGCGCCTCAAAACGAGGGGGGGAGAGGAATTGTGTTTTGAGGCGCCTCAAAACGAGGGGGGGAGAGGAATTGTGTTTTGAGGCGCCTCAAAACGAGGGGGGGAGAGGAATTGTGTTTTGAGGCGCCTCAAAACGAGGGGGGGAGAGGAATTGTGTTTTGAGGCGCCTCAAAACGAGGGGGGGAGAGGAATTGTGTTTTGAGGCGCCTCAAAACGAGGGGGGGAGAGGAATTGTGTTTTGAGGCGCCTCAAAACGAGGGGGGAGAGGAATTGTGTTTTGAGGCGCCTCAAAACGAGGGGGGGAGAGGAATTGTGTTTTGAGGCGCCTCAAAACGAGGGGGGGAGAGGAATTGTGTTTTGAGGCGCCTCAAAACGAGGGGGGGAGAGGAATTGTGTTTTGAGGCGCCTCAAAACGAGGGGGGGAGAGGAATTGTGTTTTGAGGCGCCTCAAAACGAGGGGGGGAGAGGAATTGTGTTTTGAGGCGCCTCAAAACGAGGGGGGGAGAGGAATTGTGTTTTGAGGCGCCTCAAAACGAGGGGGGGAGAGGAATTGTGTTTTGAGGCGCCTCAAAACGAGGGGGGGAGAGGAATTGTGTTTTGAGGCGCCTCAAAACGAGGGGGGGAGAGGAATTGTGTTTTGAGGCGCCTCAAAACGAGGGGGGGAGAGGAATTGTGTTTTGAGGCGCCTCAAAACGAGGGGGGGAGAGGAATTGTGTTTTGAGGCGCCTCAAAACGAGGGGGGGAGAGGAATTGTGTTTTGAGGCGCCTCAAAACGAGGGGGGGAGAGGAATTGTGTTTTGAGGCGCCTCAAAACGAGGGGGGGAGAGGAATTGTGTTTTGAGGCGCCTCAAAACGAGGGGGGGAGAGGAATTGTGTTTTGAGGCGCCTCAAAACGAGGGGGGGAGAGGAATTGTGTTTTGAGGCGCCTCAAAACGAGGGGGGGAGAGGAATTGTGTTTTGAGGCGCCTCAAAACGAGGGGGGGAGTGGAATTGCCTGAGAGAACCCTCCCCCCTCTTCCCCTGCCCTGGCCGTCTCTCTTGCCGCCGCTTTCGCCCCCTCCCCTTTTCCCCTTTTCCCCTCCCTCCCTCCCCCCCTCACCTCTTGCCCTTCCGCTCCCCCCCATTCCTCCCGTTTCCCCCTCCCCTCCCCCTTCCCAAACCACACGCACTTCACAAGTACGATCACGTGATAGAGAGGCGCGAGGGGCAGAAGGTGGTGCTTGCTGCTTCAATCCCCCCTTCCCGCTTCAACCTTCCCCCTTCCCCCTTCCGCCTCCCCCCTTCCCCCTCCCCCCTTCCCCCCCTGATAGAAATACGAGCACCTGATAGAGAGGCGCGAGGGGCAGAAGGTGGTGCGGGATATGGGGGGAGGGGAGGCGGAGGGGAGGGGGAGGGGGAGGGAGCGGAGGAAGGGGGAGGAGGGGGGGAGGGATGGGGGGAGTGGCAGGGAGCAGGGCGGAGGTAGGAGGTCCAGGAGCGCAGGATGATGATGGTGAGTCAGGTGATTCGAGCAGGTGTTCTGTCAGGTGAAATCAACAGATGCCGATGCATTGCCTTCATTTCTGTTTTGTTGATTTTGTCGCTTTTTTTTTCAACCACCTGTTGATCACATATTGCTTTAGTGTACCTTTCAGATGTTAGAAGTTAGAACACGCATGCAGGGTACGTTTGTGCATTGGTGCCATGCATACACCACAGCATATTCCAGGTAGGTTGCTTTGAGTTGGGTTTTTGAGAGTTCTGGAAAACCAACTCTGTGCTCTGCTCTGTGCTCTTCTCTGTGCTCTGCTCTGTGCTCTGCTCTGCTCTGTGCTCTGCTCTGTGCTCTGCTCTGTGTGCTGTTTATGCGACTATGAGTGATATGTGTGTGCGCCTGTTTATGTGCATGCGTGCTTGCGTCTGTGTGGGTGTGCTCGCCCGCACTCTTGCATGCATGAACGCCTACTACACTCCATCAATCTCTGCCGCCTACAGAAGACTTTGAGGATGTAAGTATCGTGCACTCCCTTTGCGTGTGCATGTGTGCACACCCGCACTCATGCATGCATGCGAGCACACCCGCACTCATGCACACCTGCACTCATGCATGCATGCATGCGAGCACACCTGCTTCACTCCATCAATCCCCATCCAGGGCGGCCCTGCAGAAGACTTCGAGGATGTGAGTATCATGCGCTCTCTCTTAATGCGCCCTCTGCATGCCGTCTCCCCCCGATATGCTCCCTCCTGTGCGCCCTATGCTTCCCATGTGCTCTCACTCAGGATCATCCATCCCATCGTGGATCATCCATCCCATCGTGTCTTGCGGATGTCTCACCTATTTCACCCGTTTTCGTACACGGATAATCTGCCTATAAATCCTTAAAATGAGGGTCTATATCGACGAAACGATCCAATGTTTCCACCAGTAGCATATTCTTATGTAGAGAAAATGAGGCCCATATTTTGCATGCTGTCAGACATAAGTTCCAGCAGAGCCTGATTGATTCCCTCTTGACTATTCAATAACTCATTCTTGATACTCTCATTATTCCTTCGTCATAGTTTAAAATTTGCTCTTAATGATCCCACCATCATTTTTCTTTATATATATTACCTTCTCTTGTTTTTTTTTTTAATATGTATTTTAATCAGGAGCTTCAAGGCGCTACTATTGTTTATGACGAGAGGGAGGGGGGAGCAGGGACAGGAGGGGAGGAAGGGGAAGCAGCCTGGACAGCGAGTGAGGTAGGAAGGTGGGTGCCATATGTGGTGGGTGCATGAGTGGACTCAAAGGTAGGAAGGTGTGTGGGTGCCTAAGCTGTTGGGTGTGAGCTGTTTGTACACGAGACAAGGAAAGGGAAGCAGGGAGAGGAGGGGAGGATGGGGAAGCAGTATGGACAGCGAGTGAGGTAGGAAGGTGGGTGCTACATGTGGTGGGTGCCATATGTGGTGGGTGCCTGATGCACCTGGGTTAGGGAAGGAGCAGGGAGAGGAGGGGAGGATGGGGAAGCAGTATGGACAGACAGCAAGTGGGGTAGGAAGGTGGGTGCCTTGTTTGTTGGGAGTGAGCTATACATGAGACAAGGAAAGGTAGGAAGGTGGGTGCTACATGTGGTGGGAAGGGGGGAGGTAGGAAGGTGGGTGCCATATTCGTTGGTTGTGAGCTGCACTTGAGACGAGGAAAGGGGAGCACGGCAAGAAGGGGCAGAGGAGAAGAAGGGGGAGATGAAAGGGATTAGAGTCGGGTGCTTCTTTCTGTGCATGTATTTAGTTGAGTGGCATAGAGGGTGCCTTATTCCTTTGCCCGTGATCACACTTTTTTGTTTTGCGTCGTATCTTATTATGCCCTCGATTGTGCATGCAACTTGATGGCACGGTGGCATGATGCTGGCGTGATGTGGCATGATGATGGCGTGATGTGGCATGATGATGGCGTGATGATGGCATGATGATACAATCGCATTATGGCATCCTGACAATGTGGCGCAACATCAGTTGAAGGAGCAGGGCAATGCAGCATTCTCGAGGGGGGAGTACGAGGAGGCAGTCAGGCTATTCACTCGGGCCATTCAAGCCGACCCCAGGTATGACATGAGGGTGCCACAGGTATGACATGAGGATGGGGACATGAGAGCATGGGGAGTTGAGAGCATGGGGACATGAGAGCATGGGGACATGAGAGAGCATGCCCCTTCCCCTGCCCCTTCCCCTGCCCCTCCCCCTTCCCCTTCCCCTTCCCCCTTCCCCTTCCCCTTCCCCCTTCCCCTTCCCCTTCCCCTTCCCCTTCCCCTGCCCCTTCCCCTTCCCCCCCTCTCCACCCCTATCATGAGTTTCAGTGTGCTGCTCGGCAACCGGACAGCTTTTGAGTCGACTCAAAAGCAGTTCCTGTGTTGTCTTCAGCAACCGGTCAGCCGCCTATGCAGCCAAGATGAGGAGCTTGCAACCCCTCCCTATCTGCTCGTCCTCCCTCTTGCGGCCCCTTTCTCTTCCCCCTGTCATCAGTTCCTGTGTTGTCTTCAGCAACCGGTCAGCTGCCCATGCAGCATAGAAGACCTCTCTGCTCCGTGGTTACCATGCCCCTCTCTGCTCCGTGGTTACCATGCCCCTCTCTGCTCTCCGTTCTCCCTTTCCGGCTGACCCCTTGCCTTCCTTGAGTCGTCAGCGCCAGTGTTCTATTCAGCAACCGGTCAGCTGCCCATGCAGCGTAGAAGGCCTCTCTGCTCCATGGTTACCATGCCCCTCTCTGCTCTCTTTCCCGCTGACCCCTTCCCTTCCTTGAATCGTCAGCTCCAGTGTCTTATTCAGCAACCGGTCAGCTGCCCATGCAGCAATGAAGAGCTTCCAACAGGCATTGCAGGATGGGAGAAAGGTGGGTTTGTGTTTGTGTCCCAATTGGTTTGCGCGAGAGCTGGTTTGTGTCACAGTTGGCTTGTGTCAAGGTTGGGTCGTGTCTCAGTTGCCTTGTTTCACAGTTGGCTCGTGTTGCAGTTGGCTCGTGTTGCAGTTGGCTCGTGTCGCAGTTGGCTCGTGTCGCAGTTGGCTTGTGTCACACGTTCATGCGATATTAGATTGTGCGCGATTTCAGCCGCTCACAAAGCAGCAACTGCAGATGCAGCAGGCACGGTGGGCCATGGCACTCACGTATCACCATGGCACTCACGTATCACCATGGCACTCACGTATCACCATGGCACTCACGTATCACCATGGCACTCACGTATCACCATGGCACTCACGTATCACCATGGCACTCACGTATCACCATGGCACTCACGTATCACCATGGCACTCACGTATCACCATGGCACTCACGTATCACCATGGCACTCACGTATCACCATGGCACTCACGTATCACCATGGCACTCACGTATCACCATGGCACTCACGTATCACCATGGCACTCACGTATCACCATGGCACTCACGTATCACCATGGCACTCACGTATCACCATGGCACTCATGTATCACCATGGCACTCATGTATCACCATGGCACTCACGTCTCACCATGGCACTCATGTATCACCATGGCTCTCACGTATCACCATGGCACTCATTTATCACCATGGCACTCACGTATCACCATGGCACTCACGTATCACCATGGCACTCATGTATCACCATGGCACTCACGTATCACCATGACACTCACGTCTCACCATGGCACTCACGTATCACCATGGCACTCACGTATCACCATGGCACTCACGTATCACCATGGCACTCACGTATCACCATGGCACTCACGTATCACCATGGCACTCACGTATCACCATGGCACTCACGTATCACCATGGCACTCATGTATCACCATGGCACTCACGTCTCACCATGGCACTCATGTATCACCATGGCTCTCACGTATCACCATGGCACTCACGTATCACCATGGCACTCACGTATCACCATGGCACTCACGTATCACCATGGCACTCATGTATCACCATGGCACTCACGTATCACCATGACACTCACGTCTCACCATGGCACTCACGTATCACCATGGCACTCACGTATCACCATGGCACTCACGTATCACCATGGCACTCACGTATAACCATGGCACTCACGTATCACCATGGTACTCACGTATCACCATGGCACTCACGTATCACCATGGCACTCACGTATCACCATGGCACTCACGTATCACCATGGCTGTAGCCGAGGCGTGTTGCAGTCAGGCACACTCCCCCCGTTCCCCCCGTTCCCCCCGTTCCCCCCGTTCCCCCCGTTTCCCCCCATTTCTCCTCCCCTCATCCCCGCTCTCTTCCCCCGGCTTCCCCCCCTTTCCACCCGCGGTGGGGAAATCTCCGCTCTCCCCATTTCTCCTCCCTCCTCCCCCCCCCCCCCCCTCCTATCCAGGCTCTGCAGCTCCACCCGTGGGTGGCAAATCTCAGCTCTCCCCATTTCTCCTCCCTCCTCCCCCCCCCCCTATCCAGGCTCTGCAGCTCCACGCGCGGTGGGCAAAGACAAAACAAAACACATCCTAGCTTTACGCTCCCTCGTTTTTTTAGAATTCTCAAAAACAAAACATGCTCTCCCCCAGCTCTCCTCCCTCCTTTCCTCCCCCTGTCCAGGCGCTGCAGTTGCAGCCGCGGTGGGCCAAGGCGTACTCCCAAATTGCTGTGGCGCACTTCCCCTTCCCCCCTTCACTCTCCTTCTCCCTCATTCCCCCCTCTCTCCTCCAATTCTCCACTCCCCTCCCCTGTCCCTTCCCCCAGGCGCTGCAGTTGCAGCCGCGGTGGGCCAAGGCTTACTCCCGGATTGCTGTGGCGCACTTTGGGCTGAAGCAGTATGTAGAGGTGAGATGAAACTGTTCTGAGAGGTGAGATGAACTGTACGGAGAGGCGAGATGAAACTGTACGGAGAGGCGAGATGAAACTGTACGGAGAGGCGAGATGAAACTGTACGGAGTAAATTGTGGATGCGGCTGATGGGAAATTTTACTGGTTGTGACTGCCCCTTCTGTACGTGTAAAGACCCTTGGGACTGTACCATGCAGATGAAACCCTGCAGATGCAACCATGTAGATGAAATTATGCAGATGAAACCGTGCAGATGAAAGTGTACCCTTCCCTCTCCTTCCCCACCCATATCAGCTTCCCCTTCCTCCCTCTCCCCTTCGATTCCCCTTCCCCTAATCTTCGCTCCCTCTCACATCCCGTTGTCTTCATGCAATTTCCTTCCCATCCTATTCGCTGCAATCATCAACGCCCAGCCCAGGGAATGGGGATAAGTGCTTCAAGTCCTGCTTTTGCGTTTTACAAGCTTTTGCTTTAGAGGCTTGTGCTTTAGAGGCTTGTGCTTTAGAGGCTTGTGCTTTAAATGCTTGCAAAAACAAAGAATGGAGCACAATGGGGCACACACATACACACACACACACACACACTCTCTCTCTCTCTCTCTCTCTCTCTCTCTGCAAGAACCCAGGAAGTTCAGGCATAACTAACAAGTCGTGCTCCTCTTGTGCCCTTTGCACCACTGCAGGCAGCAGCAGCTTATGAGAAGGGGCTCAAGTGCGATCCTCTCAGCACCGTGTGCAAGCAAGGAGTGCAGCAGGTGAGATGGTGGTGAGTTGGTGATAAGATGGTGGAAAGATGGGGGAAGATGGGGATAAGATGATGAACTGATGGTCAAGTGCGATCCTGCACTTTCACCACCCTCTCAAGTGCGACCCTCTTAGCACCGTGTGCAAGCAAGGAGTGCAACAGGTGAGGTGGTGGTGAGTTGTTGAAGTATGGTTAATTGATGGTGAAATGATGACTTTTGAGTCGACTCAAAAGTCACCTATGGTTGTTGGAGTATGGTGAAATGATGGTGGTTTCTATCCTCCCCTCTACCACCCTGCACTTTCACCCCCGCTCAACTGCGATCCTCTCAGCACTGTGTACAACCAAGGACTGCAACAGGTGAGATGGTGGTGAGTCGGTGATAAGATGGTGAAAAGGTGGTGACCCTGCTCTTGAGTTGCGTGGTGTTACCCACCAAAGCCTCGTGAGATTCATGTGAAATCTCACGTTTGTGCGACTGCCACGTGGGTCTGAGCACAACAGGCGCGGGAGGTGCTGCAGCAGTTGGGCGAGGAGGCAAAGATAGGAAAGCACATTTGGTGTAACAATCATAAATGTGAAAGTATTATAAGAGATGTTAACATTTCATTTGTGTAACACAACAACAGGCGCGGGAGAGGCTGCAGCAGTTGGACGAGAAGGAGGCGAAGACAGGGAAGCACACGTTTCGGAAGCGGAAAACAGCAGAGGATGCGAAAGGGGAGGGGAACATGGGAGATGCAAAGGTGAGGGGGAGGAGGAGAGAGAGTGAAGGGCATACAAAGGCATGGGGCAAAGGGAATGCAGGGGCATGGGATGAGGGGATTGCAGGGGAATGGTGTGAGGGGAATGCAGACCTGGGGTGAGAGTATGAGGGAGAGACTGCACCAGATGCTGGAGTGAGCCTTAGGCATGACAGACGGTGGGGGGTTATGGCTGAGTATGAAAGAAGGACTTCGGTTTTTACGGCGTGGGTGGCTAAGGAATGAAGATGGATAGGAAGGGACTAGCAAGAACACTCGTTCCCCCCCCCCCCCCCCCCCCCCCTCCTTCCTTCCCTACAAGCACGCACACACTCTTGCAACCCTGTATTGCCAAGAAATCATTCATACACTCCCTTTTGCATGCCTTATTGCTTTATGTCGCCCTTTATCTCCTGGTGGCAGAGAGGGAAACAGCCAAAAAGGGCGAGTGGTGGGCAGGGGACAACACAGAAAGGGGTTGGTTCTCTACTATCATTTGACGACGAGTGAGGCGGCATGCAACTGGGAAATGCTAAATATAGGGGTCAGGAAGGGGAAAATGGATCAAAATTACATTTAGATGACGAATACGTCGATACTTTTGTTTTCCCATCCCATTCCTTGCTTCTTGCTCTTGCCCACTTGTTCATTCTGTGCCAGTTCTACGTAACGAATCTGTGAAGTGTAACTTTTTAGTAACATATCGGCAGCATTTGTGCTTCATTGATGACGTCTGTTTCCTCGCACGTTGCCTACCCGATCTCGGGGCTCAGGCCTGTGCGCATCCCAGAAGCAAATCCACCGCCTCTGCCCGCCCTAGTCTGGAAGGAAAGTCCTGATTTGATTTGAAAAGACGCCAGCTGCATATCTGAAGATATTTTACGTTTTGAAGCAGGGTTTATTTAAAAAGGGTAATTTTCCGGCGCTAGCCTCGTTCCAGAATTTGAACGGGTAGAGTGATCGGACATTCCGGAATTGATAGTAGTGGCGAAGCTGACGGGTCCGGGAGGATCAGAATTCGTGGGCGGCACATCGGGATGCACCTGCCAGAAAGTACCCCACCCTCTCCTACCCCCCTCCCCCACCGCGGCCTTTCCCCTGGTCCTGTGCGCCAGAGACATTTTTCGGCCTAGTCCCCAATATCCGGAAACATTCCCTACAGACTCCCCCAAATCCAGAAAATTCGGCCAAGTCCCCAACATCCAGAAACATTCCCACAGACTCCCCCGAACAGTGAAAAATCGGCGGAGTCCCCCACGGGCAGAAATAACTCCTCCCGCGCCCGAACAGCCCAGAGAATTCAGCCCGAGTCCCCCCACACAGAGATACTCCTCCCACCCAGAGCCCCCGAAAACCAGAATATTCGGCATGGGCGTATAAAGTTTGAACGCTAACCGCGCTGCATCCGAGCAAACACTTCCTGAAACGCACAAAAACGTATAAACCTGTCTTACAGTTCGAACTTTCGCTTTGACCTAACCATGCGCCCGAAGTCCCTCACGGCCTGGTCAATTCCTCCCCCCAAGCACCCCCCTACCGCCCCCCACCCCTCCCCCTCCCCCTCCCTCCACGCGCACCCAACGACGAAGATTCGGCCAATTCCCCGACGGCCAAAAATGTTCAGCCAACTTAACCCTCCCCCCACCCCCGGAACCTAGAAGTTCTCCCTACTTTAGCCAAGCTGTTAAAAATAGTAGAGAAATAAAACAGGGATCGTAACATGGTGAGCCTGAACGCGCCCTACAATCTTGACACGCCGCATAGTTGACATCCATTGACCTTGAATATCATGACTTCCACCCAGCCTTCCCGAGTCAATATTAGGTGGAACTTGGCTAGAAGTAACTTGGTACCCAAATCCAGATGAAATCGACATTAAGTACCCTGAAATTCGGACGAAACAGGGTGCAGGAGGGTGGGGAATCCCGGAGAAATACTCCCAGAAATGCTTAGCGTGAGCTCTGTTATGAAGGCTGACCCTGTCAGAAATACACTTGTCCTCCGCCAATTTCTGTGGCGGCAACTTCTCACGTTTTGTCGCATACTCTTACCCGCTGCCAGGGGGCCGTTCGCTGGCAATTCTCCGAGGGGAACGGGGAGGGGAACGGGCGACCAAATCCCGTACGCATGGAATCTGCGCAGCCAAACCTACGTAATTTTTTTTGTGTGCCCCCGTACTTTGGTAATCATAACGTCGCCGGCTCATGATTACGTCTGTCACGACTGCAGGACTGGATAAGACAAACTCGTGGACAGTGAAGAGTGGGGCCCACCAAAAGCCCTCTTAGCCCATCGCACTTTCGTAGAAAATCTAGCGGAGAAAATGAGATTCACACAATTTTGTCAAAACTGCCCATTTTTTTAACATTTCAAAATGTGACCGATTGGATGGGTATGAGCTGGCGCAATTGCGCAAATCGACGGGTAGGATTGAAAGGGAAGTGGCTGCGGTTTTTTTTTTTGGGTTTCGTAAACCTGCCCAGCCAAGAGGCATGCCAATCTTGGCCTGCCTCATACCACGATTTTGCAGTATGAGGTGTGGCACGGAGTTTGCCTGGTAGCTCTGGTCGGCTCATGACCGCGCTTCAGGTTTGGCATGAGAAGGAGCACGCGATTTGGGGGCAATTGGTTTGGGGAAACCGAGCCGACGCAACGTTTTCGCATGCTGACGTCACGTTTCGCAAATTGGGTTCGGTGAACCCACGAAGCCTAGATCGATGTTCCCCATGCCTGATTTCCCTCGCCGTGCCGGTGAAAAATTGGCCAGCGAACGGCCCTCAGATGCTGCTCAAAAGTTATGGGGATAGTTCAACTCAGTTCGCCATGTCAGCACCAGCAGCGCAGCATCGCAGATCGCAGCCGTTGGTGAGAACTGGGCTCCTCACAACTCGAAAGGGTTGCTGGCATGGGGAATCACCACAGTGGGGAATCACCACCTAGCTTCTTGCTATCTCACTAACGACAAACTACAGAACGAATAACGACAAGATACAGTAGCTCGAAAAATTAGCGGACAGGTGGAAACGGTCTTTACCTCTGACGGCCGGTACTGTAACTCAGGTAAGGTTCACTGTATACATCCACAAATTCCACATTGTAGAATCCAGTATGCTGAACTATAGGGTTTTTAGGTTACCGGTAACCCTTACTAACGTTTTACTCTCTGGGATCACATTTAGCCCCTATTACGGAAGGATTTTTCGCCGTTCAAACCCCCTGGGGGCAGTTTTTTGTTCTCTGAGGTTAGCTCGCTCCACAGCGAACCACGTGTAACAATCTCCTCAATCTTAGGCAGAGGGCAGAAACAATAAAGGGTAAGTAGCTGCTGGATGGGTACTATTAAAACATTTCGCATCACAGTCTGATTTAGAGCTACCTCATGTGACTTTCGGCGTTTTCTCATCTTAGTCATGTGAAGTATTGGTCTGTCTTATGTCTCCTGGCAAAAATTCGCGCCACGTGTCCATTGCTGAAGCCCAAACAGAAATTTCGAGTCACGACAGCAATATACTGTCTTTTCCTGCCCACCAGTTCACTGCACTGAGTGGCGCGCGAGATCCACCTCTTCACTGTTGCACATTCGCCCAACCCACCAAACCCGTTGCGGAACACTGCCCAACCCAACCTGGGGTCACGCAACTCTCACCTCCAGATGCCCCACTAAACAGAATACACTTTCTGGTACAACAGGTTAAAACAAAGAACGTTATGATCGTTTACATGTATTACTGGTGAGCAGGAAAAGACAATATATTGCTGTCGTGACTCGAAATTTCTGTTTGGGCTTCAGCAATGGACACGTGGCGCGAATTTTTGCCAGGAGACACGAGACAGACCAATACCTCACATGACTAAGATGAGAAAACGCCGAAAGTCACATGAGGTAGCTCTAAATCAGACTGCGATACGAAATGTTTTAATAGTACCCATCCAGCAGCTACTTACCCAACAATAAAACCCTTAGGGACCAGGCATGCCATTCTGGATGGCATCAACCCTAAACTCGCAAAAGGGCCGCGAATTTAGGGTTGATGCCATCCAGAATGGCATACTCGCCCCTATGGGTTTGAGTTTTTTCCTTGCCAGCCAACCTGCCCGAATGTTGTCGTTATTTTTCAGTAGCGCTACAGATCCCACAATATTGCAGGAAACATAGAGTTTAGTAGCCCCACAGTGACGGAACAAGGAGATTGTGACGCGTGGTTTTTTGTGGTGCAAACTAACCTCAAAGAACACAGAACTGGCCCGGGGGATAAGAACAGCGAGAAACCCTTCTGTTAAAGGGATAAATGTTACTCAAAAGAGTAAAATGCCAGTAAGGGTTACCGCTAACCTAAAAACCCCTGAACTGTACCTACCTTGTCCTGCGCCCTCTAGTGTACCGATTTCGTTCGGGAATGCTGGTGTTGTTTGAGGGGCAATCGTCGCGTTCTTCGAGCAAATGAAAATCGTTCAGAATTTCTGCTCTCATTCTTCGCCCTCCATTTCCAAGTCAGGAGAATCCGTGGATTTCCTGACTAGAGAAGCATTTTCTGGACGAAACAGGTTAGGGTGTCGTTCGTGCGTGATGTGACAGCCCTCCTGCACGGTAAGAGCTCAACTAAGAACGTGGCGGGGACGCCGTTCGTTCTTATACTAGATATGGACCCGAACCACTCCAGATGCTAAATTGCCTGATGTGCACGATGTGTATTATTCGGTGGTTCTTTGTCGCTTCCACCAGCTAGATTTCGAAGGATTCCTCATGTCCACGTTTATGGCAACAGATGCTCAGACTCCCCATTTGCTTATTCGTGCCAGCGTCGAATTCTGCACGATAACCTCGGGTAGCAGTGGCATTCGTCCCTCTATGTCGATTTCCCAGTTCCGTCACTAGTCCCTCGCAAGCTAATACTGCCGAAGTTGACAACAGCACGGGTTCACTAAGAGCCACATCATTCTCGGGCATAAATTCAACTTGGCCCTTCAGTTGATAGATGTCGGGCAGTCCCACAAGATGCTGACATCGCTGATGCTCGTTTTGAGTCCCTTTCTTCGTAAACGGAGCCAGGGACGGTTCCCGCTACGCGATGCATCACGCCGAAAACCGAACGGATATACACTGTACACTAATAGTGGGTACCCACGCCGTTCGATTAATCTTGCCCGACGGACCGAAGCTAGTTTTATTCGATGCTCGCACGCCACCGGGCGCACTTCATATTTGAAGATAAGTTATCCCGGAATTGCACGCCGATGGCCGAGCCATCACGAGTGCCAAGCAGACGCGATTGTTCCTCGCCACTTGCTTCAAAAGTTTCGACCGCCGCCCATTTTCCAGATTCAGAATCCAGACTTCAGATTCGAGTCTCGAGGCCTCTCACTTCCCTGCCCCACACGAGCGAGGTTCTCCAGCATTCTCGAGCAAAGAGAGGAGGAAAAGGCGGCAGACTCTGCCACGCGGAGAGAGTGCGGACGTCAGCGGCAGCATAGAGAGAGTCTCACACTGAGAAGGACTCCCTAGTAAAGGCAAGCACTGCCAGTGAGAGTCTTCAACTAGCAGAAATTGGATCTCGATGCTCTCCGAGAGGATGAGGGTTAGTATTAGGACGAACCCCTCACTCACTCTGAGTCTGAGTCAGGCTCCGCCGAGCCCCCGCCGCGCCCCCGCCGCCTTCCCTCAGCTTCAACGTCAGGTTCAAGTTGAAGTTGAAAAGGCTGGCGTGACGCTGAGCCAGATTCATTCGCTGGATTCACTCGCGAGTCCCCATCTGACAACCACCGTCTCAGCTTCACGCCAACTTGCTTTCGCAATCGTGCAACCTCTTGTGACCGTGTGGTTTCACCAAGAAACACGCGACCTTTCTCTGCTAGTACGTGATCTTCTCAGAAGAACGGCTCTCCGCCAAAACCTGAGGCTTCGAATACCCTCACAGAGCACCTGTGGAATACCCAGACAGCCCCATCTTCACCTTTCTCCCCGCCGCGAGGCTCCGAGTCAGCTGCTAGTTCCCGTTATAAGCAGCCGCCACAACTGTTCGTCTCGGCGTTTCGACCATGTGTCGCTGGTCGCGCCTGATGGGTCTTCCGCGCGAAGGCCCCCGCGGAGGCCCGGACAACGCGCGCCACGCCTTCCGCGGAGTGCGCCAGCGCAAGTGGGGCACGTGGGTCGCAGAGATCACGCACCCGCGCATCAAGTCCCGCGTCTGGCTCGGCTCCTTCCCCACCGCGGAAGCTGCTGCGCGCGCCTACGACCGCGCTGCTCTGAAGCTGCTCGGCCCATCTGCGCTTCTCAACTTCCCGCAAGCCCCAGACGGCCAGCGAGCCCCTGATGGCGGAAAACCCCTCCCTCTCGGCCCCTTCCCCACCGCTGAAGCCCCAGACGGCCGGAAACCCCCTCCCCCTGGTGTTTCCCCCACTGAAGCGCCCCCTGCTCTGGGCTACAATCGCGCGGGGACCAAGATTCTTGGCCCCTGTGCTTCCAGAAGCCATCCGCAAGACCCCCTGGGCGAGCCTCAGTCCCAGCAGCAGCAGCAGCAGCAGCAGCAGCAGCAGCATCTGGGATCAAATAGCAACGGCGGATCCCTGCAAGCTGGCTGGGGAGAGCCTATGGAGCCCCCTACTCCGCCCGTTCTATCTCCACCAACCATTCGGAGCACTGCAGCAGCCGTTTCACTGGCGCCTGCAGCCATGAAGTGGGCTTCTCTGCCCCCCTCCTCGGATGTGCGGCGCTCGAGTCCCTCGGCGCCTGCAACAGTCCCCACTTGGGCTCCTCCGCCCGTCTCCGGTGTTCGGCCCTTCAGCCGCATAGCTAACCCTTCTGGGGATCTCCCCCCTCTGGCTGGAGGGGTGGGAGTTTCCGAAACATGTATTGGCAGTGGTGCTGAGTCACCTGCTAGCCACGAGATGGCGCAGATGCTGCTGCTGTCGCCGTTACCAAATAGCGTGGTGCACAATGCAACCACCATCACCACTAGTGCTGCTGCTGCTGCTGCTGCCATTGACGGGCCGTTCCCACCAGTTCAAGTGTCCGCTTACGTTGCTGTACTGGCAGCTCTGAGTGCTAGAGTCGTGCTCGATGCTGGCGTGGCGAATGCTGCGCTTTCTGCTGCTGTTATTCCTGCTGCTGCACCTCCTGCTCGCGCTGCATTTCCATCGGCAGCAGCAGGAGTGCAAAGAATCCTCTCACCACTCCATCCCTCTCCACTGCCATGTCACACTCCTGCGTACATCTGCCTCTCGAAGAGACCAGCCCCACAAAAGTGTGATGAGAACGGCCAGTCTCCCGCCGTTGCTGCTGGTGGGGCCTCTAGAAAGCGGTCCCGGGAGCAGGCAGCGTTGCTGCAGCAGTTTGACGCTCTGAATACTCTGCCTCAGCCTTATGGGGCATCCGGTGGAGCCTCAAGGAAGTGGCTGGGGGAGCAGGGAGCGATGTCACAGTGTGTCGGATCTCTCAACATTCTTCCTGTACCTGAAAATGCACCTGCGGTTATCCCCCAGCGGCCACCTGGATCTGGATGTAAAAGGAGGCCCGGTTCTGGATCTGAAGCCGTGGCTGGGGTTTATGAGGGGTTTGGGCCCATGGCCAAGCGAGGAGAGGTGGATTGCCAGTTGATGAAGTTGCTGCAGGAGCTCGAAGGGGAGGTGAGATCGCTGAGGGGGGGTCAAGATCAAGCAACCTGGGCTCAACCGCCAGAGCAGCACCAGATGGCCCGGCCCCAGCAGTCTGAGCAACAATCGCGCAGACCGCAGCAATTGCAGCATCAGGTGCAGCCAGTCGTGCAATCGGTGGCTTCTGCTTCTGAAGCTTACCAAGCACAGGGTGACAACATGTTTCAGGCACAGTGTAACGCTATGAGCGAACTGGGGCAGCAGCAGCAGCAGCAGCAGCAGCAGCAGCAGCAGCCCATGCATGCCACGTTGGATTCTCTGCTGCAGCAGCTGGAAGCGACTCAGCAGTATGAGTTGATGCTGCTGACTCAGGTGGTAGAAGCGAAGAAGAGGGAGGAAGCAGAGGGGGCTTCTGCTGTTCAGCCTTGCATTTCGGCCACGCAGCCTCGATTCCAGATGGAGTCCCAGCCCTCGCATAAATCTCGTTGTGAACTTCCGTATCACAACTCCATGAAAATGGGCTTGCCGCAGAAGGGCGTTGTTTTGCTTGAGCCCTACAGCCCTGCAGAGTCTCGTTCTCCGTCATCAATTGATCCAGTTTCAGAAGGCATGAGCACTGAAGACTTCGAGCTTGCATTCCTGTCGGAAATAATGGACACATGGCGGTAATATACAGGCATAATTGAGTGGAGTGGTGTGATGCGTTGTCGATTTGCCATTGATGAGTTAATAAGGATATATATCTATAAAGTGTGCAGCGTGTGTTTACCGTTATTCAGCATTGAATTCCACAATGCAGGAGACATAGGGAATGTCCAAAATCGAGGAGCACGTGGCGGCCGGACAAAGCTTGCTCGTTATCCGCCACCGCAAACCTCGAGGCACCCACGAACCAGCACCGCCACGTCGTCGGTCTCCTGAAGCATCTTCGATGACGTGGCACGTCTTGAATGCTGTACGATGGATCAGAATAGACTTTCCCAGAATTGTCACCAGACCAAACCACACCACATTAAAACGCACAGAAAAGTACCTAAACGTACTACACCGCCCGTCCCCCTCACCTGATTATTTTGTTTCCCTGGTGCTCTGATTTGCGCTTTGCCCCGAAGGAGAAACCAGAAAAGCTTGCTTGCTCGGTTGTGCTGTAATTATTCGCTTGGCCATTCTACTCTTGCATTCACCTGACACAGCGAATACGCCTGACTCAGCGATTACCTTCGTGGGTTTCCCAAATTCCCAGCGCATTTGCCACCATACATTTCGCTTCCGCCACGAGAGAGGAAGCAAGCGTCTGTCCGACGCACGCTAACACAAGTCACCGATTTCTTCCACGGCCTGATCGGAAACCGTGCGCGTCGGTTTGATCAACTGCCGCTCAACGAGTCTATTTTTGTGGTGGTTTGATCAACTGCCAGCACCCTTCCGCTGATCCTTTTTCGACGCGCGTCAGTAGCAATGGCGTCTCTTATCTCGGCCGAGATTGTCGCGACCATGGCTGTCGCCAAGTCCGCGACGAATCGCAGCTGCTCGAAGCTTTCTACGTGCTCGCCGCTGCTACCATCCTACACTGCTCTTCCTCAGCGAATCTCTCTTGGAAAAAAAAGCCGAGCACCAAACAGGCCGTCGGGAATATCCGCGCGAGGCTCACTTGAAGGTGAGTCCGGAAACTTTTTTGTGTCGACTCAAAAGTATGGGGTATGGACACTCGTCACAGTCCTTAGCAGTCTAAGGCGGCTGACCACGTGCTGTGTTGCTTGGTGCAGACGAGAGAGAAACAGGAGCAGCAGCCAGCAACAGCAGCAGCAGCAGCAGCAGCAGCAGCCAGACGTCTCCCTCACCTCCAGCCTCATCTGCGGCTTCTCCTGCGGACGAAGCAGAGGAAATCACCCGGAAATGGGGCCTCGAAGCCGGGCTTTGGAAGGTGAGAGGCGGGATTGGTGGAGGGGGGACATGTGGAAGATGTATGGATCAACAGACTGAGGAGGTACGATTGAGCGAGAGGTTGAACAAATTGGAGGAGAGAAACAAGAAGTAGAGACGAGGTATGGTTGGATAAGGAGATGTAGATTGAACAAGAGGGGAAATAGATTGTATTTCAAATTCCGAAATTCCGAAATTCATACAAGAGGAGAAATTCGGAATTTGGCAATCGTACAAAAGGGAGGAGGTACGAATTCCGAAATTCGTATGGGAATGGGTGCGTGCGTGGATTGGAACAAATGAAGAAAATACTGGCGAAGCCTGTACGCCGGAATTTCTTGAGAAGCTCACCGTCCGATGCTTCCATCACAAACTCCCTGTGGCCCCAGCGTACAGCAGCGGTGCTTCTCGCAGCTGCTTCTGGACCGCTGCTTCTGGACCGCTGCTGCTCGCAGTGCAGCAGCACTGCAGCGGCAATCCCAAGGCAAGGTGCAACCCCACCCCTCCCCCCGCTCCCCACCAGGCCCTCACGCCAAAAGGCGCAGCAAATGCTGCACGTGACAGCAGCAAGAGTGCGTCTGGAGCTGCTCCTGCTGACGGTGCAGCAGGCAGCAGCGGCAATCTCAAGGGTCGCAGCTACTCGGAGGTGGCAAAGGACCTGCTGAGTCGCTAAGGAGGGGCGCACCTGGGAACCTTGATCTCCTCTTCCCCGCGTGGGCATCCCCGCATCGCACCCCGGCTCACCCGCACACCATTGAGACACCGTCTCTCCCCCTTACTCCCTGGCTCCTCCCAGGCCCTCACATCGAAAGGCGGAGCTTCTTCTGCTGACTCTGCTCCTGCCAGCACTGCGGCTGATGCACCAGCCACGGGCAATCCCAAGGCCAGGAGCAATGCTGAGGTGGCAAAGGACCTGCTGACTCGTTACGGAGGGGCGTACCTGGGGACCTCCATCTGCCTCTCCCTCGTCTCCTTCTCTCTCTGCTACGTGCTGGTCGACCAAGGCGTGGACGTGGCAGGGCTCTTGGACTCGGTAAGAGCCGACTCGTTTTCATCATACGTTTCACCTTCATTCATGTTTCGTCATTTGTTTCACCTTCATACGTGTTTTGGCCAATGACCTCTTTCTCCCCACCCCAGTTCGGCCTGCACTTGGGCGGACGGCACAGGGGGAAGCAGTGGGCGCCTTTGCACAAGGCCATCTACCTCGTGCGCTTTCCTCCTGACCCCCTTCTCCCCTCTTCCCTCCCGTTGAACCCCTCCCCTCCCTCCTTCCACTTGGCTGGCACATGGACAGCACAGGGGAAGCCGTGGGCACCTTTGCCATCGCCTATGCGGCCCACATGGGCTTCCCTCACACCCCTTTTCCTTCCATTTCCCCTTACCCTCCATTGCCCCTCATGCATCAGTTTGGCCTTCACGTGGACAGCACAGGGGAAGCCGTGGGCACCTTTGCCATCGCCTATGCGGCCCACAAGGCCCTCTCTCCCGTGCGCTTCCCCCCCACTGTGGCGCTCACTCCGGTGGTGGCTGGCTGGTTGGGGAAGAGACAGGAGAAGGGGGAGAATAAGGCGGAGTAAGAGGAAAACGGGCAAAGGGAAGAAGGGGGAGAGGGTTGGGTGTGAGGGAGAAGTGGAGGATGCAGTGAAGGGAGTGGGTGGGCACTTTTGCCTGTATGTTTCCCTCCCACGGTGGCGCTCACTCCTGTGGTGGCTGGCTGGCTGGGGAAGAAAAAGGCAGAGAGAAGAAAAAGTACCAGGGGAAGGAGAACCGGGGGGGGGTGAGGAAGAATGGGTGAAGCAGTGAAGGGAGTGGGCACTTCTGCCATGGCCTACGCGGCCCACAAGGCCCTCTCTCCGGTGCGCTCCCCTCCCATTGCGGTGGCTGTCTGGCTGGGGAAGAATGAGGAGGGGAGTGGGAGAGGGTGTAGCTAGAGAATTCATCTTCCTTGTGTTGTAGCAACTAGCAAGCCCTTGTTGTCGCGGGATGCTCTGTTTGTCTCTCAGTTCGTCTCTGGGTGCTTGTAGCTGGTAGTCCATGGCAGTCCGGACCGGGGCCCCTGTGGAAAGACAGTTTTTTCCCCCACAATGAGTGGTTTGTTGGACAGCTCCAGCTCTCAGATGAACAGTTTTTAACTAGAATGAGTCATACAGGTTGTTTTTTTTAAGTGTTGTAACCTCTAGGAACATGCACATATCTAGCCTATTATAACATATACACATACCATAAAACCCCGAATATATGTCCCTAGGGTGCAGAGCAGGGCCCAAAATATCCAGGTGAAATTGTTCAAATTATATAAGTTATAATTTAATATAGGCTTGGTAGGTTGTTACTGAACCTTTCTGTAGGGGGTACAAACCCCTCCTTGTACTCCCCTCTCTTCCTAATCCAATCCTCTTCTCTCTCGACACTCTCGTCCAGCTCCTAGCTAAACCCCGCCGCCACATTCATGGCGGCCTTGTTCCTGCCTAGTATCCTAGCCTAGAGCTATTCTAACAGAAATGCCCTGATTACCCTGATTTTAAGGGTCATTATTTGTACTAGTCTGATTTTTCAGGGTTTGAAATTTTTTTACCCTGATGTAGACAGTGTTGGTTTTTTTTTACCCTGGCTAAATCCGGGTGTGCGCCCGGCCAACCCTGATACGTCAGGGTGGCCCGGAAATTACCTTTAATGCAAAACAGTCAAGTGCTTTACGCGTGGCGTTTTTTTCCTCGCGCACCATCAGCAAATGCCATCCACATTCCTGCCACCTGCGGCATTTTGCCACCCTACCCCACCCGCGCTGTCGAATATTCCCCCCCAGCTGTCCCTGCGTCAGCTTCTGTTAGGCCCGCTATTGGTCGCTTTGGCAGCAATATTGCCTTGGTCCCAGCTGACGAGAGTTCATTGCATGTGACGCATGAACCGCACCCTCAGTGCGAGCCGTTCAGTTCCAGCATAGATGGGACTTCAACAGCTCACACTTGAACGCGGCCCGCGTGACTGGACGAGGAATCTCAGCTGGGTGATGACGGCTGGCCCTCCATCCCTTCCATCGACTTCTTCATTCCCCCCAAACCAGACCCCAGGTGATCACCCTTCCCTAGGAGATCTCCCTCTCACTAGCTTTTCGAGCACAACCAGTACATGACAGTCGACAATGACGATGAGCCCCCCCAGTGCCGTCCTCGTGACGGCCTTAGCATACTGGGGAACTTTCCTCTCAAGCCTGCCACGGTCGTACCACTGTGTACTGAAGGTACATGGCAGGTCTCCCGTGATTCGCAGTCCCCCTCTCCATTGAGGTCTCATCGTGCATTCTCGTCGCCGCACACAGAAAGGACGCCAGCGAGGGGGTCGCCTCTTGCTGTCTCGTTGCCCCATGCTGATACGCCACCCTTCAGCTACCCTTTTGAGCCTAGCTCCCCCGAGACGTCTTGGTACACTCCCGCCGCCCAGCCGTGCGCATCCGCCGGTGAAGGTTCCTCGGGCCATGCTACCGAGTCTCCAGCACCTGCCAAGCGTAAGCGCGGTGGATACACGCAGCAGCGTCTCCCCTTTGCGTCATCGCCTAAGGAACCTCTGACCCCTGTGATAACACCGCCTCCTCCTCCTCCGCCTCGTAGTACCCCGGGCACCGATGCCGATACGGAGTACGACATCGTCAACCGCCGCTACGTCAATGACTGGTCCCGTCGCTTCCCGTGGTTCCGCCTCCATCGTATGAAGAACGGCCGCCCGTCACTGAAGTATGCGATATGTCTGCAGTGCGGTGACGTTTTCAGCAATACGAAATACGGAAGGAAAAGCGAGGGCGGACGCGACCTGCAGGTCGGCAGCATCCGCACACATCTCGGAACCCGAGCGCAAAAGGATGCTCTCGCGGCGAAAGAAGAGAAGGACGGGGAGCGCGATCGCCAGCGCACCCTCGACCGGTGGCAGGGGACGGACGCTTCAACGAAGCACCTGATTCGGTGCCTCCACATCGCCCTCTTCGTTTGCAAAGCGGATGCGCCGATCGCCTTGTTGGTCGCGCTCTGCTTCTTCCTCGCTCGTGAAGGACTGCCAGATCTCCCGCCAGGAGGGGCGTACGGAACCTACTATACCGAGTAAGTTGTTTTAGCATGCGCCTTTGAATAGTTATCTTACTTTCATCGAAATAGTTTTTGTTGTTTATCTTGCTTTCCACATGCATCGAAATAGTTCTACCATACTGTAATGAATACTTACTCGGTTTGGTGTTGCTCCCCTTGCGCCACACTCCCCACATCTACGGATTCAAGGAGTGCTTGAAGACTACCTCACAGTACCTTCGTGACCGCCAGGTGGAGCACATCCGGTCCTCCCCGTTTGTCAGTATCTCGACCGATGAAAGCACGGATAGGGTGCATGGCAATCACCTTATCTTGTATGCTACATTCTTCAAGGGTTCGGTCGTCGTGACAGAGTTCGTCACGCTCCTGACCGTCGACCGCACTGACGCGGCTTCCCTCACGGCCGTTCTCGTGCACTACCTCCAGTCTATCGGGCTGGATCTGCAGAGGATCGTCGGTGTTGCCACCGACGGAGCCTCCGTCATGACTGGCGAGAGGACGGGCGTGGTGGCCCGTCTTCGTGCGCGGATTGAACATCTCTTTTCTGCTCACTGTATTGCTCACAGGTCGGTTTGCTGACATGGTTCAAACACTCAAATCCCCTTGCTGCCCATGCATCCTATGTTTACATTCCATCTCCTTCCTTCCACCCGCCTAATCACAGGGGGTCGTTGGCGGCGAACCTAAACCCGGCACTGCAAATCGTCGACACCGTCATCCGTGGCTTCGCCGAGTTCGTCGGGTGCTCGAACGTACAGCACTTGCATTTCATGAACCTGCAGATGGTTTTCTGCTTCACCAACCTTGAAGCCCAGGGGATATACGCCATCCGCTGGCTTGCAAGAGGTGAAGCAGTGCGTCGCTTCGCGGATGTGCTCCCTGCGGCGATTGTCCTGCTTCGAGAAGCCGGGAGCCACCTGTACGACATCGTGACGTCCTTCAAGTTCCATTACCTCCTCTACTTCCTCGCCGATGTCCTGGCGGAGCTCAACCACCTCAACCTCCGGTTTCAACAGAGGCAGGTAAGTGGTCTTCAGATGAACCCTTTTTCATGCTATTGATACTCTATTGTTGCTGTGTTTAAACTCAACGTCAAGCCGTGCACATGTTTAGCCGTAACTGGTTAAGTGGATGCTCATGATCCGATTGCCCTCCCTGTTGGCAGGTGGACATCACGGTCGTCGCTGCCATAGTGGCGAACACGTGCAGCCGCATTCAGAGCCGCTACATCAGCTGTGGTGATGGTCTTCGGTTTGGCAACGGCGACAGCGAGCTCCTCGGGGCGTTTCTCGACCGCCATTGCTCTGCAGACAAGAGGCAACACCGGGTGTCTGGTGTGGACACCGATGGAAACCCCCAGTCCTTCGTCTATACTCTCCATGAGCGACAACTGGACGGTGATGAGACGGGCAGTGACTTGGCGTCGTGCAACGTCATTGCGCGGAAGTACGCCAGTGATCTAGTCATCGGCATCAACGGCCGCTTCAACGACCTCTACAACCTGGACGGCACGAAGCTCTTCAAGGTGAAGGCCTACCTCAACAACGACGACCTGTGCATGGCCCGCTTCACTCAGTGGCTGAGGCAGCTGGCCGGACTCTTCAGGAACAAGCTCCCTGGTAAGTTGTGTGCTCTGTACATGTGTGTTCGCCATGTGAGTTTGCCCAATGTGTTTGCACCTAAAGCATCCATGTCTCACAATCCCCTCTGTTGTTTACTCGTTGTCCCCCTGCAGGTTTCGACTACCACAAGGCTATGAGGGAGCTGTGGATGTTCACCAGCACCATGGCCTCGCAGTACAAGGACGACGACTTCTACACCGCACTGACCCTCACCCTCGACAACAACGACTGGCAGCGAGGCTACCCCAACATTCTGAGACTGTGGCAGGCGGTGGCAGTGCTGCCTCTCAGCACTGTCGAGTGCGAGCGTGGGTTCTCTAAACAGAACCTAATCAAGACCTGGGGCCGGGGTAGCCTTGGGGATGACCGCTTGGGTGACTTGATGCGATGCAGCTTGCTGGAGTACCAGGTGGACTGGTACGCTGTCGTGGCTATCTTCCGTGCAGAGAGGCACCATCGCCCCACCCGAGACCTTCATGGGGTAAATCCGGCCCCTGCTGCACCCGCTGAGCCCCAGGGAGAGACTCAGCCTCTGGAGGAGCCAGTAGTGGCTGTGTACGATGGATTGTATAGCTGCAGCTAGGGTACACTACTGTTGCATGCTGACCTCGAAGTAGCTGTAGGTAGGCTAGCTTAATGAAAGTATGTAGTCGTAGGTAGGTAGGCCATTTAGAGATAACTGTGCATGTTAACTGCAATATTAAAGTGTACGCTAAAGTTAACTGCAATCAGTGTGCGTGAAAAAACACCCTGAACAAACAGGGTGCGGAAATTTTTAAGCTGCAGAATCAGACTCCAAAAAGAAGTCACCCTTTACGTCAGGGTGTTTTGCTAGGCAAACCCTGATTCCAAAGTGTGCTCTAAAACCAATTTTGGGCCCTGGTGCAAAGCCATATACGTGAAAATTTGCGTGGGAGTCTTATCGTGGTTTGGAAATAAAAGTCCTGGGACTTACGGTAACTCGTTCATAGCGGATTCTGAAAAAAGAGAGTGTTTTCAGTAACGGGGGAACTCAGCTGTCCTTCACTCGAGTATGCATGCACTCCGAGAGTCATCCAGACGCCGAATCCGCGTCAGCAAGGCTGGGCCACGGATGACGGCCAGCAAGGCATGGTGCATCTCGCACTGGCCTGTGAGATGAGAAGGCTGCGCCAGCACTCTGGCATCTGCAGCATACTCCGGTGCTGTCAAGATGCTCTTAACAGCAACCGAATATTGACAGGAAGCAACGGCGCGGATCTCACCTCTCTGAACGAACGGTTTACGACTATTGGGGGCTAGTCAAGGAGCGTCGCGCGAGGAGGCAGCATGCAGCTATCCTCAGAAAATGGTTTGGTGCGTGAAGAGAGGGAGGAGGCGACAGCGTCTCCTCGTATTGTTCTACAACGCTCGTCACTCCCATGTGTCACAGGATCGAATGTGTCGAGGAAAGGTTGCACTATCGATCAGTACAAGGCGCTTTTATACTTCCAGAGTACATCAGGTAACCAGGTTTATCTTATCCTAAAGAAATAGACCCT